ATAGGCGGCCTGGGGAGCGATTTGTGCAGTGCTGGTTCGCTGAAACAGTGGCTTATGGGGGTGGCTTGCTCGACTTAACATCGAGTTGTGTACGAGCAAATTAAAAGCGTGCTTATCGGTGACCTGCCGTCAGTTTCGAGCCTGTGGCAGGCCTTTTTGGAGTTAAATTCTATTGCTTATATCTTAGACGAACTGTCCACTCGCTAACAGCTATCTTACGAACATTTCTGAGCTCTTGATGGACATCGATTCCAGTCAAATGACGATTTCATAGAGAGGTTGACATGAAAAAACGGTCTTCCCTCTGCGATGTGCACCGGCGCTGTTCAGAACTTGGTCTCGGGATAAAGCCACTAGTCTCCCGAAAGCGTCTTGAAACTTTCGAAACCCAGGACTGGCTTATGTGGCGCTGACGTGCGACAGCCCGCTGGCTGAGCCTTTCTTGCAATAGTGCAACGATTTGTGCTGCTTCTGAAGGTGTAGAATCCCAGGTAAAGTGTCAAAAGAAGCGGAGATGTGTATGAATCAACGTGTGAAAGCAAAAATCTAAAAACGCGTGCTTTTATAGGGGGTAAATAGGCCGCAACTCGCGACGTATCAAACAGTTCATACATGTCTTTTTCGTTACTTCTTCACATCAGCCGGGATATCTTTTTAAATACTGGTGTGATTTAAATGAATTTGGTATCAATTTAAAGATAAAAGTTTAATCTTTAAAATGGTGCCACTTTTTTTGTTACTAACAAATTCGTTAGTACACAAGTTCGCGTGGAAACAACTTCATGTAAGTGATTCCATACTTTTGCTCGCGAGTGTAGAATTACTGAGCTAGTTTAATTTTGAATGTACCTACTTGCTATCTTTATACAACCGTACCTTTAATATTTTACCCACACTAAGTTTTTTAGTTTTTGCTTCTATAGAAGCAAAAAAAAATTTACGAGTAAATGTAAAAAAAACACACTGACACTGAACGACCAGTACCTATAGTTACAACAACTTTTGCAGTCTCTATCTTGAACTTTTACCAATGTAAAGCTGTTCTATTTTAGCTGTGTCTTCTACCAATTACTCTTGTCAGCTACCACGAGTTCTGCGAGCGAATTGCATCGGTTTTAATGGTAAAAATTAACTCCATGTTGGTTCGCCTTTGGAGTTTTCCAAGTGATTGCTCCGCAAACAGAATCTGCTTTCTCATTTATGGAAATTTTTATTTCTGTTGGAAAAACTGGGAGGACTGTCTGGGTTGAGAATATGGCTGGATATTAAAATTTATCTATTAGTTAAAAGAAGTGTCTTTTACTAATACAATGGGAATTCCCAGATCGTACTCTTATTACACAAAGTACTATAGATCTAGCTTAACTTAGTCAGTGCCTGAGGTATGAGAGGGGCACGGGAGAGGTGATTTTGACATAATTGTGACGTGACATAGCATACAAATCTGAAGTCTCGCTGACATTTGACGTATCCAAAAAATACCCTCCCATGCCAGTTCCATACCTCAGGCATTGACTGAGTTATACGTATCATAAAAATGAATATTGCAATAAGAACTTTTTTTTACCGCGACGCCTATTGCAATAAGAACTTTTTTTTACCACGACGCCTATTGCAATAAGAACTTTTTTTAAATTTTCAAATATTGTGACCAATGACCCCCAATAGACAAGCTCACGGACGTTTCAATATGTCTCATATCGATAAAATATTTTGTTTTTTTTAGTCGCCATAATTCTTTAAATATCCTTATCGGTGTAAAAAAAAAGCGTATAAAATACACATTTAAAACACAAAAAAGTATCTTTTATCCTGTAAAACCCACATGGACTGCTAATAATAGAGGAACATGCATTAAAACATCGGTATTTGTTCCGCAAACACAAATAAATGCTGGGCTCAACAATGCAGTTCCATGTAAACCCAAAGCATTAATAAAAGCCCTACATAATTAGAAGTAATGGACACAAATGCGCAGTTTAAATCTGAATGTAACATGTAGTGATGCTCCCTAGAGTTATCGATAAAAATTTAATTGCAAAAAAATATTCATTCTATATTTTGTTTTAAGGTGAGAGCTTTTGTTTAATGTCATATATCAACCTAGTCACATCCGTTTTAACTGAAAATTCATACATTTAAGGTACGATGGCGATCAATGCATTTAAGTCTGATCGCCATCGCTGCACGCCGGCTGATCGCGTGTGATCGCGTCGGAAGATGAGTGTTGCACAAACAGTTGCTCAAGATTAAGAAGTCTCAAATTAGAAACCGGGGGTAAAAGCATTATTAAGAACTAGCTGACCCGGCGAACTTTGTTCCGCCTTAATGGCAATAAATAAGCAGACTTTTTTTTAAATTTCGAACGGGATAAAAAGTATCCTATGTCCTTCTCCTGGCTCTAAACTACCTCCCTGACAATTTTCAGCTAAATCGGTTCAGCCGTTCTTGAGTTATAAGCGAAGTAACTAACACGACTTTCTTTTATATACAACGTGTCCCAAAATTCAAGGATAAGCCGGCGCCGCAGGGTGGACATAGTCATGACTACTTTAGGAAAAATATGAAAAAAAATCTATCTCAATTATTTTTTAAGTAACACAATAAATTATGAAATTCGTCGAAAATTGACACCCCTTATGATATTTTACATTACCACGACCATAATTTTTTAAATACTTCTGTTTTTTTGTTTGTATCGGCAACTTAAGTAGTGCTGCTGTCCACTTCAATTCTTAAAACCCTCAGAATCCTTGCAGTTTTTACACAAAAGTTAATCAAAATATGATATTTCCTTAAAATTTTGAACGATTTTTACTTTCACTCCACTTTGACCCGTCGTTTTGTAAAAAAACAGTATGAACACTACTGCGGCAAGTTTTTTATAAAGTTGACGCAACTATCCAAGATTCCAAAATGGTATAATACTCTAAGAAAACTAGTCGCAAAAAAGATATATGCGTACCATTTTTACAAGCACTTCGCTTGTTAATTAGTATGGGATAAATCTTGCAATTAAATTTAAAACCAGTTCTCCTCAACCAATTGAGCTGAAATTTTGTATACTNCATATTTTTCCTAAAGTAGTCATGACTATGTCCACCCTGCGGCGCCGGCTTATCCTTGAATTTTGGGACACGTTGTATATAGATTAAGCCATCAATGAAAGTATTTACGAAAAAAACTGTCAAATAGTTTGAAAAACCCTTACTCTGAACTTTCGACAGTATCGACACGTTTCATCGACATCCCTAACCATGCAGTGCAGTTGCAGGGATTATGTCTTAATTAATTAAAGCGCGGTTGTCCTTTATTAGCTGGGGTGGAGCTGCGATTGCGGTTTTTGCTTGTTTGGTTATGACAGATTGTTATTATTTAACTTCTTTTTTTCGTTATAACTTTGTTATTTTAATTTGTGGGTAGAGCAAATTAATAAGGAAAGTCCACATTTTGGTCAGTAGAGAAGAGAGATATATTTTAATTAGCCTGTAATGTTTTATCTTTCGACTTACTTATAGGACAATTAAATAATGAGAAACACGACATCAGCGCTAATTAGAACCCTAGAGATGAGAGCGTTAGAATAAAAATTGATAATTCCATACAAGCACTAACAAGCACTTTAATCCAAGGTACATAAAATAGATCATAGCTAAACTAAAAAATTATCGAAGTTAAAAAAAGAGATACTCAGGAACATTGGCGAATATAAAAAAAAATATTAATTCAAGCAAAAATATTATCCAATATCTGTCCGCAAAAGTCCTATGGTCATTCAAATTCATAAAAAATCGCAAGGGACCAAGATTGCTACCTTATCCCAAAGATATCCCGAAAGGACACAAACACTGGAATAACTTTTACATAAACAACGCAACTAAAGTAGGAATAAATGGGCACAATAAATGTAGAGACAGTAATCTCCTTTTTTTCCTTAAACTACATTAATTTCCAATGGGGTTACTTTGGTTCTGGAGTGGAAGCCACATACCGGAAAGCACAGCGTACGTCCACCCACAAGGTGGACTGACGACTTCTTAAAGGAAGCAGAAAGGCACTGGATGCAGGCCGCTACCAACCGGTCATTCTGGAACTTTGGAATCATTGCGGGAGGCCTAAACCGTCAGGGGACGTTCTACGAGTTGAAGTATGATGATGATGATGACATTTTCCACATATCCGCAGAAATTGCTTAACAATTATAATTCTTGACGATCTCACGCTATTTTTCTTAAGATGAACCGCCCTCATCATCAGTTGAAGGTCGTGGAAAGTGCTTAGACGCGTAGCGTAGGACTGATCGCAGGAACCACAGAATAATAATAAGTACTACGCTGAAGAACGTAGAAGTTTTTGAGAGCCTATCTCTCTTTAGATAGCTTGTAGTTAAAACGGTAGGAAAATAAGACTACCGATTTTGCCTGTACTGTATTGTAACATGGGGCTGTATGAAATTGCACCGCCTCCCTTTGAGCGGCTGCGGTATTCGTAATATCGTCCCAACTTCTGAACAAAGGTTTTCTTTCTGTTTGAAGTGCTGCGGTGATATGCCAGCAATATTGCCAGAAGTTTGGGCTTTGGAGGATTTTTATATTGATTATTAATATTGGGATTTGAAGGGGTAGTAGTAGAAGAGTAACTTTGAGCTCCCCCGTAAGGCCTTTAGTTAGAGGACACGTTTCAGTTCCATGCAGGGGTAACACACTGATTGTAGACTTAAGTATTTTGATAATAAAGTATTTTAAAGATAATCTTGACGCATTTAAACTTGGGAGATCCTCTAGCGAATAATCCAGATGCAAGCAACCGAGTCCTATCTCCACAAAAATATTTGATCTTGACCTGTTAATAACATCCTTGCGATGTTCATTCAGTATTTGCTTAGCTTTTTAAAATACACAATCATCACCATCGTCTGGTCATTTGGTCTCATCTAAAGGAGTATAATTGATCTAAAAATAAAATACCCCCATTAAATATTAAATGTATCTTCTTTTCAGAGCCGAGAGAGCCTATCATCGGACGGTGAAGGCGCCCGCGGCGACTGCTCCTCCGTGGACTCCTCAGGGTCAGGGTCGGAGGAGCAGCCGCCATGCGACATCGGCCTCTTGGAGCGCCTCATCAGGACGCACCCTGTGTGGTTCCTGCCTGGCATCCAGAGGGCTGGCGCGTTCCATCTTCTGCAGGGAAAAGAAGAAGGGGTAAGCGTCTACTTATTTTAAAACTGCTTATAAAAATCATATTATTTGAAGGATTTATAATATCCACATATCGCTTTTACTGCTACAACAGCCATGTAGCGAGGACCTCCAGCTTAAGTGCCAATAAAACCTTATTATTGAAGGCTAAGTTTGTCCCTTCGATCATACTATAATGTATGTATATGCTACCGTACCATTTGATTGTTGTGATTTCGTTTATATTGAGGGCATCACCAGTTGCTTACTCAAAAAAATCTTCCCAATTTTCCAGAACTTCGTCGTCCGCCAATCGAGCCAGCCCGACACAATGGCGATCAGCGTCCGCCTGCCCGCCGACAAGGGGCCCTACATCGAGCACTACTTGATCCAGGCCTCGGGAGGCCGCATCGGCCTGGAGACCTCGCACAACCGCTTTGACAACATCCCGGAGCTTATCGCTCATTACTGCCAGTGTTGGTAAGTTTTTGAAACAGTTCTCGTAAACCTAACCATTCGTAAACCTAACTATTCGAAAACCTTACTTATAAAACCAAACTCTTCAAAAATCTAACTCGTCAAAACCTAACTTTTCGAAAACCTAACTATTCGAAAATGTAACTATTCGAAAACCCAACCATTAGAAAACCTAATTATTCGAAAACCTAACTCTGCGAAAACCTAACTCTTTGAAAATCTAATGCTGAGTTGCACCACCTAACTTTGACCGTAACTATAAATGTTTTGTATGGAGTTTGACAGATTTTTGACATTTTTCAAAGTTAAAGTAAGATGGTGAAACCCAACCTAACTATTCGAAAGCCTAACTATTCAAAAACATAACACTTTGAAAACCTAACTTAAAAACCTAATTCAAAAACCGATCTCTGATTTATAAGTAGGTACACAAGAAAATAAATTCTCATAGTAATCTTTATCATGTCTTTTTTTTCTCGCTTCCAGTGATGAATTACCAGTGCAACTCCAGTTACCCCGAGCTCTTCGTGAAGCAAAGAGTCGGCACCAACTCAGTTCTTTAACGCTTTTGGGGCAAGAGTTCTGGGGCTATCCCATGGCCAATCCCAAGAATAACCCCACCAACCTTCTCTCGCCATGCCAGTTGGCTAACGGAGTGGTGCCAATGGCTATCACTCCATCTGATACTGGATCTAGTCTTAGTAGCTTCAATGCAAGTGAGTATACGCCTATTAAGTATTATACTCTTGTTAGTTAAAAACAAAATACTTATTTAACCGTCACGTCGTCATGTTTTTAGGCTCAGGAACAAACTCTAGAGAAATACTTAGTCCAGAAAAAGATAAAAATGTTGTGCTAAAAATGTCGCCTATCGACCCACCAGGTTCCCCACCGAAACAAAACCAGAACCTTAGCACGTTCAAGGGAAGGACGCCTCCGTCTCCGCCTGCGAAACCGAACAGTGCATTTGTCAGAGCACCCCGACCAACCCCACCAAATACCCTCAACCTTATGTCGAGCACCGTAAGTTTGAATCTCAATCAACAGCTACAGCTTTATCGGTGTTGTTTATTTTAATTGTTATTAAACGCTTCACCTGTTTTCAGGCTCACATAACCCAACCGCATACATTTCCTACAGCAAACACCCAACACTCACCCACCTTGAACAACGTCAAAACCACACCCCCTCCCCCGCCGCCGCGGTGGGCCAAACCACCGTTCTCCAAAGCATCCTTATCCCCAAAATCCGAAGTCGCTTTCAGCCCAATTAACAAGGCACAGAATGGAAACATTACAGTCACAACAACTGTCACCTTCTGTGTCAATAACACCCAAATTCACAACCACCAAATAAACGAGAGCATACAAAGTGATCGGCTACAACTAACGCTTGCGTCTAATGCCATCAACAATAACAGTAACGCTGACGCCGTATTCAACTTGTTGGATGCGGGCAAACCTTTTGCTGAGCCTGACGGAGAAGCCCAGGTGAGGATCGATAGACTTATATGCATCAAGAATGCTCATCTGCATGACTAAGTATTTAGAATGTGCTCGTATTTGTCTCTAACCTTTCAACGCATTAATTTCTTGTGTGATAAACATTGTACTGACTGAGGCTTATTCTATTCCTGTATAGAACATGATGCACCGAATGTCACCAGAGGGGGAGTGCATCAATGCAATGACAGCTAGTTTGCACGGGAGCTTCAAAAGGCAAATGACTGAACAAAACACCACCGATCCCGGATCGCCAGTAGAACAATCCCAAAACACTTCAGACTCCGTCGATCCGATAGCGAATAGTTTCACTAAGTCTTCTAGCACGAGCTTCGCTGCTAATCAACTTGTATCTCCAAATGGAACGAATTCCGTAACCAGTGGCATATTTTCGCCCACCAGCCAGATTAATTCACCAGTTTCGAATGACACTATTTCCTCAAAAAGTGGTGTTTTCTCTCCAATAAGTCAAACTAATAAGAGTGAAATCTTCTCACCTGTCTCTAGAAGTTCTCCTGTATCGGGTAAAAATGTTTTCTCTCCTACTTCTAATCAGTCTATCGTATCTCCTATGACTTGTAAAGATAGGGAAAAAGTGATGTCTCCCAACACAAATACGACAAGTACTACACCATCTGGTAGATCAAGGAGGAGTAGACACTCCCAGCGAAAGGAGTCCAGACATTATCAGGTAGGGGAATGAACTTGTATGTACTTTTATGAATGTAAAATTGTGTCGTTTATTTATTTTGTTTGATGATTTACACTAACAGCACGTTGATATTTATGGAAATTCTATACGGAGTTCATTTTTTTTATATTTCTTTATTGTAATAATAACCGTATAACAGCTTTAATTAAATTAATCTTTTCGTTTTCTAGGAATCAGACATCCTTGAATCTCCAGGTGTGTATTACAGAAGCTCGTTAATGGATAAAGTATCTGATTATGAAGATATTTGGGGACCAGAAAGCAATAACTGTTCTACATTCAAGCCCCTAAAGCCTGACAATGATAACAATATAAATAACGGTCTTATGAAAAGCAAGAAACCTGATTTACTTCCAGACACCTTACGTAAGTTGACACATTAATTCAAACATAGTATTTTTATTTACTGAATTATTGACACTAATAAATTTATTATTACAGCAAAAATGACCAACGCAAAAAGCACTCAATCAATCTTAGAAAAGGAAAATATTCACATTCTGAATTCTACAGAAAGTTTGAACGAAAAGAAAAACTTATCAGATAGTTCTTTGATGAAGAGTTTTAATGGTTCTAATGAATTGATCGCCACCACAAACAGTAAGGGAGACGTTGTGCCAAAGAGACCGGATAAGCTTAACATCGCACTAAACATGAATAAGAAACTTACTGAAGAAATTGAAGCTACTTTCAAGAATAGAGAAAATTATAATACTGAAAGTATGGAAACAATCAAATTGGAAGATGACTGTATAAAAGAACCAATTCTTGATGATTCCGATAAGGATAACACTGGTAGTCCCTTTTATGCTGATCCAGTTGATGCTCTTAAAGAAGTAAGTGATATTAAAACAATGATAAACAGTTCAAAAAACTATTGTTTCTTATGAACTATAAATATTGTTCTGTTTCTATTTTTAGGCCGGCTTGCCTCAAGTTCAGCGTCGGAAGCTAATAAGAGTAGGAATGAACCTCTCTCAGCGATACTCGGAACCTCCTCAAAACCATCCTTACTATCCTCTTCGAGACATGCACAGCATAGAAGAACTTTCTCGTAAGTTTCGAGCAATTTTAATTTTTATGACTTAGATTAGCCTACTTTTGTTTGTGCGAAATCAGAGCAGTCAAAATGACTCATTACTAGATTTCTTTGAGTTATGTAAAAAGGGTGTCTAAAAGTGAACGCAAGCATTTTGCTTGGTGTGACCTTACACACTCTTGTCTCGTCTTGCATACACACTTTATGCACATTAATTTGAAAATATGTATCTTTATTCGTTTCCATTTCCAGCATCATCACCCAACACATCGTCATCTGTCGACAACCTAGTCTCGCTCCGAAGCAAGCCGAAGATGAAGCCAGTTCAACCACCCCGCGTCACAGCGAAGCCCCCCACAGGCAAGGCAGACCAGACATGGACCGTTGACTCCAGTTGGGAGTTCATAAGTCAGTAACGATGTACCCTGCAGGGCACACCATTCGGCTTCACTAAAATTTTGGTTGCACTGAGGAACCCTTGGTGAAATATAGCAGCTTATTTACAATTCCCGGTTCAGATAATTATAAAAGTAACAAGCTAACCAGAATGGCATCGAAAACTTTCGTTAACGTATATTTTTTTGGTCATTTAGGTCCAGAATGACACAGGTTTCAGGTTTAAAGTTCCAACAATACAAGAGGATACAAATTCTGGAAAATTTTTCGGCTCTATGTTTTACCAAAGAGGAACCTAAAGGCTAAATTCAATCGTGCGCGTAACGCTAATACATTGTAGTTACTAATTGGCCATTCCAAAATCATTATTTTGCAATTTTTATCTGGAGTCTACCATCACATAGTCTGGACGTCGTTGATACGCTTACATAACCCGCTTTTTCCCTTGTTTTAGTTCTTGAAATAAAGCATTTTTTCTTATTTTATTTAAGCACTTTGGATTCTGAATAACAAAAACCTATTTTCTATTTCACTGGGTATACTGGTTTATCTTTCTTGTATTCTAAAATAGTTTGATAATACCAATCTTCCGCATTTTTAAAACTTGGACTTTGCTGATAATATTGAATTTGAACTTTAATGTAAATACATAAATGTTATTTTAGATAAAAACGACGAATGCTCAAACAGCGAAAGTGGTACTTTCCCGTCACTGGCCGAGCAGGAATGCCGACTGAGCGGAGTGGATGATGGAGCACAACATCTGACCGTTCACCAAATCGTGGCTCAGAGGTAAGTTGTGTATCTTTTCTTTCCTTTATTCTTAACTTTTACCCACGTACGTATCTAGCTTGACTAGATCTGATATTACCTTCGGTGAAATTTAAATATTTAAATCAAATGAACTTTATTTTTTTGTTTTTAGAGAAATTCACAATACGTTTTTGAATTTTGAAACTTTTGAATCCGAATGTCAATAATATTATGGCTTTAACTTATGGGACTCATGCAAGGTTCTATTTTCGGTCTCATATTCAAATTGAAAACTTAAACTTTCCTCCTATTTTTTGCAAGCTAATGTCGGGTGGTGGGTACTTCTCATCGCCACGGTTCTCATCGTCACCTTCGTGGCGAATTTTATTCCTAACTTATTTCAACTTTTTGTAAACAAAAATTGTAGCGCTTGATGTGAAGATTGTATTCTCAGTAAATCAGTCAAATAGTGAGTCTCGTTTGGAAGCTTCAAAGTTTTGAATTTTTTGATGCCACGAAAGTGATTCTGTACTTCACAGAAATAATTTTTTCAAACTTTACTACTGTAAATGACTCTTAAGTGTTTATAAAACATGTATTTTGTCTTATTTTCATAGATAAATAGCAATAACATAATATAAATAGGTACCTACTTAAATACAAGGTAAAATTTTACCGATTACGTCACCTACTAAGTTACAAGATTCTACGCAATTGGTTTTAAGGGTGACACTGGTGGCATTCTGAAATGCTAAAGAAGCAAAAAACGGATTATCAGTACCTCAATAAAAAAGAACTCTAACTGATTATCAGTCCCTCAACAAAAATATATTTTTTATTTAGGCCAGAGGGCCTCGTATTTTTCTTGTACAACTTTTAATTCAAACTTCAGAATAAATTTATCTTACAAACAGATACACAGTCACATATACAGACATACATACAGTCAACAAAAATACGAGGCCCTTATTTTTTATTGATGTACTGAACTCTACTTAGGCACCACGTATAATTTATTAGTTATTAAAATATTATAAAAACATGAACACCAGTCACTATATTTTAAAATAAACCAAAGCAAGAAATCACTTTCTTGGCCTAAAATCACCTTCGTGTATAAAACACCACGAAGGTGATGCCACGAAGGTGACGAAAATTTTAGTTTTTTATGAATTATCCTTAAATTTGAATTAAACGGTTCAAGTCGAATACTACACAAATAAGTCTAACATGTTAAGTTTTCAATGGCAAAGTTTCAATTAAATTGTTTAAAGGACAGTGCCAATCCATGTATGGAAGTTGGACCAAGTGCTGCCCAGAATGAAACTATAGTGCATTTTGTTCCTCAGGCCAATACTAATTTGTAAACCGGAGCGCACTGAAATCTATCCCTGGAGTTAAGAGAAAAAAAGAATTTTGTTTTGAATTATTTACATACAAAATATCATCGATGTATACCTACTACGGATAAGACTTCGCGATTTTGGCATTAAATAACACTCGCTATGTTAAACTTAACCATACTGCATCCGTACACCTTACTTTAGTACGACTTCGACATTATTTATAAGCGATCGAGCGCTGTTTCAGTAGTTTAGTTAGTTGACCGAAATTAATTATTTCCAAAATGGAGCCAGAAGTTTTAGCTTACAATAACTTAAATAATTGATTTTAATACACCAATAAATTGATTTTTCGCAAGTATAGAGAACTAAAACTTCTTGCTTCATTTTGGAAATAATGATTTCTGTCAACTAACTAAACTATTGCAACAGCGTTAGATCGCTTATAAAGAATGTCTAAGTCGCACTAAAGTAAGGTGTACGGATGCAGTATGGTATACACATAGCGAGTGTTATTTAATGCCAAAATCACGAAATCTTATGCGTAGTACGTATATATCGATGATATTTTGTATGTAAATAATTCAAAACAAAACTCTTTTTTTCTCTTAACTCCAGGGTTAGATTTCAGGGCGCTTCGGTTTACACATTAGTATTGGCCTGAGAAACAAAATGCACTATGGGTTGATTCTGGGCAGCACTTGGTCCAGACCCTGGCACTATCCTTTTAGAGGTAGAAAATATTGTTCAAGCAAGCGACGGTATGTCTATGGATAATCACAAAAAGTTACGTATTTTTTTCGCGGAGCGACGATCGACCTATCTCACCTCCCCAATGGTCGAAGCACGACTGACGTTAACCGAATAGAACACTGTGATTGGTTGCTGGTGTTCGGTTTAACGGCAATCTTGTATTATTACTCAAAATTTTAGGTACCTATAATCGTGTGACCAACGTATTTCGCTTTCTCAATTCAAAATAATTATAAGAAGATATTTTTTTGACTATTGTGTGGAAAGTATATTTAATAACGATGATTTTAGTATATGCTACACACAAATTGAATGAAAATTGTGAATGCAGTAACCAAATGTTTCATTGCAACCGAAGCTGTGACACGATGAGAACGCGAAAAATGACCCCGTTTTTTATCGTTTCATGTGATTTTTTCATATTATTTTTGCTTCTATTACTATAAAATTTATTTTGTATGTAGCTAAATAGATATTTTATCATCTGATTTCAAAGTTATTGTTCTAACTTATACCGTTTATGAACTATTATTGTGTGACCATCAAATTTGAGTGTAAATGAGAAGTACCCTGGTATTTCTAGATTCCCAGATCTAAGACTGAATGCTGAGCCGATAGCGCTGCCTGAAGAAGTGCGTTCGCCTCCACGAGCGTCCTGCTACGACAACGTACATGATCTAAGGCCTCTGTCTGAGCAGGTACTGGAGATATTATGGTGACTATAAATCCGATTAGATTGATATGGATGAAATAAACTGACTAAGTGCGAATTTGTTTCAAAGCAGCTAATTAAACTTATTATTTTAACAATCTTAACTGGAAACGGCTTACTATGCAACGTGAATATAGAGTGCAACTTTTATTTGCGTAAAAAATGTAACTTTCAGTAGGTAATGCACATTGTTTCTCCAAATAGCATGCAAAATTTACATGGAACCATTTTTCTTTTAATGTCTTATTTATCTGTCTCCTAATTCCTATTACCAGCAGGCTGAGTGTGAGCTTAAAATGTATTAAAATTTTAGTTCTTGAACGTTTCCGGGGCGCTGTACTACAATCTGTCATATATTTAATGTAATTTTATTACGCGCTCACTAGTGAGGACGTTTGATTTAAACTGTCACTCAGCCCTCAGGTCACTTGTTCATCGTTAACAATTTCTTGTAAGTCTGAACTTTAAAATTTTTCTTCTTTTACAGGCAAGCGATGACGGCACGGTGTTCTCTGAGCCTTGGGACAGCTCTCAGTGGGACGGTCTGATTCCTCCTAAGAAAGGGCAACAAGCGTATGATACGGTACGCGTACATATATTTTCCTATTTTTATTTAACACTACGATTATAGTGAGATATTGTTTAAGCTAACTTACAACTTACATGAACAACTACGAGGATCTGCCTGTTTCCATAGCCCACAAAACCCTATAGGTACTTACCGTAGGATACCCATTAATGCATAGTTTTTCATACCTCTCGTACAGCATAGAGTTTCTGTTGCTATTAATGGCGATAGCAGGAATATAACTCTTATTGCTTTCTGTTTTAGGAGGAGGTCTGTGAATGGGAGTCCCCCATCCCGAGGCGTGGCTCTGGGACGAATACGAGGGCCAAGAGCTTCAGGGATAGACTTGACCCATTGCTTGGTAAGTTGTTTAAACTTGTTTGACTTATTAAAGAAAATGTTTGTAGCACTTTACAGTTTTTTAGCAGGAGGTAAGTTCAGGTTATGTTTTTTGTTAAAGTATTTCTCTACTAAATAATGCAGATGTGATCCATAGTTATAGAGTTTGTTCCTTTAATAATACCTGTAGCAAAGTTGCTATGAAAAGAGGATAAATATAATAGTTAGCATGATTTTTCCCATTCACGACTCGCAAAGTAATTTGGCATCGATACATCGTCTTCTGAATTACATTCAAAGTCAGGATGTCTATTTTCCTCAATAAATTCGCCGAAACCGCTTATCTAACTAAATTAAGTGTAACTAAGGTTACCGTAATTGCAAAACAAATTATTTAGGTACGATTACGCCGTGTGAATGCAAAAATAATGAATTTTTAAGTAGTTCTTAACTAACGACTAACACACTTAATGATTTCGTAGTTTTCATAAGGCCCTTGTAATTTGAAAATAATTGTCCCTTGTTAAGGATTATTTGAAATTTTCTTAATTATTTTTTTGTCCAATATCAGAAGAAAGGGTCAAAGTAAAACCTACTTCTACAATCCATAACATGTCTAGCCTAGATTAAACCGGTATAGTTCAGTTTTAGGCACGTGAATGTGTAATATCTGTTTAATTATAGAGCAATTATTATATAAGATAATAGTAATGATGAGGACACACAATCAGCCCCGGATCTACGATTTTTTCGAACCGGGGCAAGAACTTGATATAGCGCCCCCTCTCGTGAGCGTTTGATTAACACTAATATTATAATATGTGGCATTATTGGTGATCGAAAGAATACTCTTTAATAAATTTGTACTCTTTATTATCTATTACTAATAACTTTTTCTTAGGTGTGACATCAAATTAAATATAGCAATCATATAACAAAGCAACTGATAATCAAGACTTTGTTTTAATTTTTCTCATCGTTTTTTTTTCTCTCTTATCTTACTACCTCTACAGCTTCACACGGCGTGCTTTCTTTTCCGCGAAAGAATCTATTAGCTCATCAAAGTCCGTTTCAAAGGCAGTTTTATTTTCAATGGCGAGAATCGCGAGGCTAGATAAACGTTCTTGGCTCATTGTTGAACGCAGATAGGTTTTAATTATTTTCAGTTTGCTGAAACTTCGCTCACAGCTTGCAGATGTCGTCGGTAATGTGCAGTATATCCTTAAAGCTATACTAACATTAGGAAACGCTTCTTGCAAGTCATTCTTACACAGATGTTGTAACAGGTCGAATGCACTTGATTTTTCATTAATTTCTGTTACTAGGTCTTTGAATACAGAAAGTTCCTGGCATAAATATTTATTCGGCTCGGTTCGTGTAGCCTCTAGTTCTACATGTGAGTCTCTGCCGGGAATCCCCGTATGTGACATACGGGGATTCCCCCGGCAGAGATACGTACGCTATCAGTGTTGCCAACTAGGTTAATACAGAATGTACTAAATTGATTTTGGCGCCCTCTGAAACTGCCGCCCGGGGCAGGTGCCCCGGTTTGCCCCCCCCTAGATCCGGGGCTGCCTACAATGACGGCGCGTTATCAGAAAATACGACTCTAATGCCCGTTTCCACCACCAATCCCCAATTTTTAAGTGACCCTTATGGTAATACATAACAGGAATTTTGTTTTCATGTGGGTCACTTAAAAATTAGGGATTGATGGTGAAAACAGGCATAAGGCCGATTTCACATTAGGGAGAAGCGCGACAGCAGCGCGGCATCGCGGCAGCGGCGTTTTTATAATGTGAAGGCAGGCATCCGCTGTCACGTCATATGAAATTATATCGGCAGCGCGTCTGTCGCGCGTTTGTCGCGCTGCTAAAGTCGCCTAAATGTGAAAGCGCTCTAAATAAATCTCTACAGGGTGTTAGGTAAATGGGTATATGAGCCGACACTAGCCCATGTTAACATGGGCATATAAATGGTATGGTGAAGTCAGAAAATTGATATTCTCATTTTAATTATTTTTATTTTCATACAAATCGGATTTTATAAAATTTATTTTGTATGAAATTAAAAAAATTAAAATGGTGATATCCNAGTCAGAAAATTGATATTCTCATTTTAATTATTTTTATTTTCATACAAATCGGATTTTATAAAATTTATTTTGTATGAAATTAAAAAAATTAAAATGGTGATATCCAATTTCTGACTTCACCATACCATTTATATGCCCATGTTAACATGGGCTACTGTCGGCTCATATACCCATTTACCTAACACCCTGTATAAAGAAATCTTAGGCTGGGTTGCACCATCTTACTTTAACTTTGACAAACGTCAAAAATCTGTCAAACTCCATAGCGCATCAGATATTTTTGTTGAAAAGTAGCGCCTATTACGACGACGTAAGAGTCTACAGTGTTTAGACTTTAGTTTGACGTGCTGTCTGTACATTGCTTTTGCAAAATGACAAAAGGCAGAATAATAATTATTGGTGATTCACTGATAACAACTACACGTGGTTAAGAACAATCTAAACAACATTGTGTACGCATGATCATGCCCGTCTAACTCTAGTAAAGGTTATGTAAACCCAGCTGTCACTAGCAAATAATATTTGAGATGACTGACTCTATTTTCCATCAAAACACGGGCTACCAAGGTAAACGTATGTCAATTTATGTATGTATTTCTTATAGGTGTGACTTAGCAACAAAAATATTTGGTAGACTGTAAATAAATAAGATATTAATATTTATCATTCATCTTTTATTAAGTCTCTTTGTAGTGTTTGCTCATTATCAAAAACGTCATGATCGCTATTTTTAAATTTCCATCTTACTATTTAAGTACATTTCCACCTCATGCTCAAATGGATTTTTTTCCTGACTGAAAAAATAATGTAACATCATTATGTCACCAAATGCATTGTTACAACTATACCTCATATCGCTGTCCCGAATTCCGATGCAGAATCACAATCGGTCATTACGCGGCGTTACAATCAATTGGCTCACATTATTATCAAATTAATTAGCCGACAACTCACACAATGGCAGAGTACACATCTGCTATCTCTAATAACCCATTAACTTAGTAAATATATTAATTATGGACAGAGTTCAAAGGTTTACGCGTGCCGTACTACATCTCAGTCAGTGTTAGACGCGCGCGTGGTGTACACCTAGTGTGAATGAGAAATTATCGTTTCAAATCCTTCGTACACGCGGGAAAGAACCGCAGGGATATCTGCCATGAAGTGGTTCAAAAAGTTGTTCCGAGGAAAATCAGAGAGAGTGGCTGAGGCGTGCAGCAGTAAGGCCGATCCTTGGTTGGAGAGGTTTGATTCCATCAAGCCAAGCGAGAGAGATCTACTCTGCTCGATTGGAGAAGAAGCTTCTGAATCAGATTCTGATGAATCAGTATCGGAACCAGAAGAGATTGTCGCTGTGACTACGGCTAAGAACTTCCGCGGTGATACAATAGAGGAGTTTGTGTTTGAAAGTGACTGGGTGTTGCTGACCAAGGAAGAGTTTGACGAGCCGAAGTTTCAGCAGACATTGGCGAACTCGGACGCTGTGACCACTCTGTGCAAGAAGAAGGCTGGGGAACGAATAGTTAAGGTTTCGACTGTAGTAGCAAAGTCGCCTCACTGCCATTGCAACGAGCTCAGTATCGAAGACAGTATTAAAATGCCTCGCGAGAGTGCTTTCCGCCGTTTTGTGAAAGCAGTCGCCAGATTTTGGAAGAAATTCTGCAGAGTTATAACGTGCTGTACTTGCAAACTGAACACTGAAACCACCGACCTGTGTGAAGACTCGTTCAGCTTTACAGGACTAAAGGGTTATCTATGTAAGTAATATTTTGTATATTTTTTTCTTTACATTGGAGATCACACGAGAATTATGCATAAGTATCATTAGACTAAATACGAACAAAACATTTGTCAGTCTGAAAAAATACAAACTATTAAAATAATTCATAGAAATTTAAACGTTTTCTTTACTTTGAACTATAATTTTATTATAGAAGAAAATTACAAAATCCACATAATATTTACCTCCGTAATCCGGTAAACAGGTATTTTTATGAAATTTATTTGTTTTTCCTATTTTTTCACTAGCGTCAACTGAATTTCATTTTGATACTGCCTTAAAAGAATAATTACCATTGTTTTCAATCTTATCACGTTATCAGGACTTTGCCCTTCATTGCCAGTGAAATTAGTTTGTGTTGTCGTTTTATTGCCGCAAATACCTTTTACGTCTAGTTTGTATAATTTTGTGATAACAAATACTAATATTAGCTACAAGGACTTTAACATTCACATTTCTATACACATTTATCGTTTATGCTATTAGGAATATGCATCGATTTTAAGCCTAGGCGCAGACCATCGATTTTTCGTCGGCCGATAGTTTAGTCGGGCAGTTGATCAGTATGGGCATGTATGGAAGTGCGAACATTACACCGATTTGATTTGGCCGATTCTTCATACAAATTAAAATCGGGCCCAACTATCGGCCAACTAAAAATCGGTGGTCTGCGCCTAGTCTAAATGTTAATAAATCTATATATATGTTACGGCTAAAGACAGGTGTGAACATAAACTTAAGATTAGCCGGCTAAACTTAAGTTTATCTTCGACGAGGTGTTAATGTTAGTTTCTTCTATCTTTAGCCGGCTAAACTTAAGTGTAACCGCAGACCCCTGGCTAAAAATGTAGAAGGAAATGGAAAAGGAAACAATGTAATAATGTTTACTATTTTGACACGAAAACTTAATTAAGAAATAATCACTTTCATTACACATACTTTTATGTACCTATGTAGGTATTCAAAATTACAATTATTACAATAACAAAATATAAATTACTTGAAAACAATATCTACCTAATCATTAAAATAAAATAATAAGGAACCATTTGGTCATTACAGAATCTTCTGTAGGTATTTAAAATTACAAAATAAAACTGCGCGCGCGTTGTCTCCCCACCGCCCCCTCAAGCCCTCCGCCGGCCTAGCGCGCCCATCGAATACATTTTTAGCCGTTTCGTTTTGGCTAATGTGCACATTAGCCGGCTAAAGATGGAATATCACGACGCAAACTAACATGTTATCGAACTTTAGCTGCTTCTCGAAGATAAACTTAAGTTTAGCCGGCTAATCTTAAGTTTATGTTCACAACTATCTTTAGCCGTAACATATATATTAGAAAGTCGTGTTAGTTACTCCACTTATAACTCAAGAACGGCTGAACCGATTTAGCTGAAAATTGTCAGGGAGGTAGTTTAGAGCCAGGAGAAGGACATAGGATACTTTTTATCCCGTTCGAAATTTAAAAAAAAGTCTGCTTATTTATTGCCATTAAGGCGGAACAAAGTTCGCCGGGTCAGCTAGTTATGTATAAATAAACACTTTAGTTAAATCATAGAATTTCTGAAAAACTAGTATAGAAATCGGACTGGAAACCAAAAAATTGCAAGTGTTTTAAACTTTGAATGGCGTCATGAGATCTTTAATCTTAGGTAATATTTGAAACTTTTTTAAAGAAAAATATTTTTTGAAATTTTGAAACATTGATTTGATATGCATGGGATTTTTTTTCCCAACGAGTAACAGGGTTACTCGTTTTGGTGTGTCTTGGGAACAAGCGATGCCAAGGCTACTGAAATGTGATAAATAAAAAACCTTGCGTATTCCCTATTCTGTAGAAAAAGGCATTAGACAATAATTCATCTATTTAAATGATAATGGTGTATGCTCCCGGTCACTACTGGCACTACTGGTATAATTTATACATATTTTATGGTGAATGATAAAATGTTTTATAGCGGTGGTATATTTTAATACAGCTATGTATAATAAAATGCCCTTTGACATAACATCATCATGATAACAACAGGGAACTCCCAGTGTTATGAGTGTTCTTCCTCCGATGACTATAGGATCACTATCGAGAGTGAGTGTCCTAACAACTAGTTAAACTACTAAGGCCCAGTTTTTTTATTCTTAGTTAATAGAACTAATTGTTAAATTTTGCTACTATTGGTTAAATATTAATAAAATGTAAACCAATAGTTCAAAAATGTACTAAAAGTCAAGCTAACCATTGTTCGAAAAACATTTTTTTTCTGATATTTAACCATTTGTCATTTGACATCTGTCAAATTTGAACATTGGTTATTAACTACGAATCAAAAAACCGGGCCTAAGTTAAGGTACAGTCGACAGCACATCAAGTTATATACATCGTTGCAAAATAGCCTGTATTACGACGAGATAAGACGCCACTGTGTTTAGTTTGATGTGCTTTCGTCTGTAGGTACCTACATGGTAGCAATCCCGTCAGTAATAATAATTAGTTAAACTACTGCTACTATTAATGGTTTTTAGTTAGAGGATAGACATTAGCCAAAACCATAATAGTTATTAATTTTGTATTGATGCGAAAACCTGCAACTTAATTGTCATTTAACGTTGATCTTAACGATTTTATAATTGTTGATTAGTGACAGACAAAGAGAAATTATTTAATACAGGTTTATTCAGATTTCCTTGGGTTAGGCTAACTGGTTCTAAATTGATTTACGAAGTTATGGAAGTTATATTCAAACAACCCCTTGGTTTGCATAAACATAACGTCTGTACCTTCGTAAAGTAGTAGTTTCTTTGTGTGTGCAAACGCCTACATATGTTCCCATTTATCTCCAAAAAAGTATCTTTGACCTATTCAGATACGGTTTTCTGGAAAGGGTTTATTCATCATTTTTCAGTCGCAAAAATGTTAAGCATATTTTTGATTCAAAATTTACACTTCGAAAGCAAAATGTAGGGTAGTTTTGCTTTAGCATATTTCTTATGTTTTAAAACAAATTAGGTGACATTAACCCAAAGATGTCGGTATCGGAATAACCGAATTGATATCCAAAGAACGCGGACAACACGAGCACGAGCTAGAATCTAGATCTACACGAACAAGACGTTTACGATAGAATCAAATGGCGGCGCATGATTGGGAAAGCCGACCCCGTGTAACGGGATAAGACTATTAAGCAGAAGAAGAAGAAGAAGTCTATCTTCTAGTTAACTTTTATTTTAATTCACAACGAGGAAGCTCTTGGCCTGTACCTCACCTGATGGTAAGTGACGATCAGGCCGAAGGTGGAAGCGAGCTTCACCCGGAATCCTCAACCACGGAGGAACTGGCTATCTTACCTCTAACTGTCGGAACACAACAATGCTGTTAACATTGTTGTTATGGCGACAGACTTAGGTAAGATGATGGTAGCTAGCCAGGCGGAATTAGAACAGGCCCTACCTCCAACCAAGCCGAACAGAAAAATCTGCCCCACTGGGAATCGAACCCGGGACCTCTGAGTCTGAAGCAGGTGGTCTTACCACTAGACCACAGAGGCGGTTAATAATATATTTCGTTCGTTCGTTCGTTTCAGCCGAAAGACGTCCACTGCTGGACAAAGGCCTCCCCCAAGGATTTCCACAAAGACCGGTCCTGCGCCGCTTGCATCCAGGTACCTCCCGCGATCTTCACCAGATCGTCGGTCCACCTAGTGGGAGGCCTGCCCACGCTACGTCTTCCAGCTCGTGGTCGCCACTTAAGAACTTTCCTGCCCCAGCGGCCATCAGCTCTTCGAGCTATGTGCCCCGCCCACTGCCACTTCATTTTAGCGATTCTGCGGGCTATGTCAGTCACTCTGGTTCTCCTACGGATCTCCTCATTTCTGATTTGATCACGCAGGGAAACTCCGAATATATTTAGTACTCATTATTATTTCTTCTTTCCAGCTGCGGGCCGAGTGCGAGCCCTTCGCGGCGGTCGCGGCGTGCGCGGCGCCGGCGCAGCGCTCCGGGCGTACGCGCTGCACCTCGCGCAAGACAAAAGCACCACTTTTGCGCAGAACATAGACAACTTTATCGCGTGCACGCTGGACTCGAAGGAGACTTGCCCGCAGGTATGGGGATTTTATGTCTGTAGTTTAGTCTGTAGCCTTTTCAAAATCAAAATTGTTTATTGATTTAATTTAGACCACAAGTGGCACTTATGAACGTCAAAATGTAAATAATAAAAAAGAAAAGGTAGCCCTTATGGGGCACTTTACTCATGTCCTTATCTTTTGGGCCCTACCACCACCACCTTATCTTTTCATACGACACGTTCTGGTTAATACTTGTTATGGCTGCAATGAAAAAATTATACCCTGAGGTGAGACAAACTTTGTTTTTCCTTTCACTGCTTGCATCATTTCAAGCTGAAACGAAAGGTGGGACATGACGCTAAAAGTGTATTTCTGTAGTTATTTTGCCATGTACGAGTATATGAGAAAAGTTTCACAAATAGATAAGTAATATTGAAATCACCAATGTTGCAGAGCATAACCCAATACTTCATCATCATCATCATTTCATCCGTCCACTGCTGAAAATAGGCCTCCCCCAATGCTTTCCATGTTGATCGATTGGTAGCGGCCTGCGTCCAGCGCTTTCCTGCTACCTTTACGATACCCAATACTTAGTTAATATCAATAATTATAATATTTTATTACCCATGCATGGTCCCACAATAAAAATACTTGCAAAATACTTAAGTGAAGAGAATTGAACTGTACCTCTAACACGAAAAACTTTCAACTTCAAATCGTTTGTGTATTCGAATCTCCAACCATCAGAACATAATTATTATGAAAACATTACCAGCGCCCCTGTTTGGACGTGACGTTAAGTGAGCTTAGTATGAGAAATGGTAGCACGAAACTAATTTTGAAAATCGAGATTCTATTCCTTTTAAAATTCAGCTTCTTAGAATATTTACCTACTTATTCTAGTCTAGACATCCTGTTAACCTACTTGAGAAAGAAAACATGCCCTTTAACTATTGTCACGGACCAGTCAGCTGATTGTTTACTGACCTTCATTAAAATTCCTTGTTAATTATTTTGATAACCATATTTATTTTGATAGCCAAATAACAGAATGCAATTATACCAACATTTGTTTGTGTTCTGTTCAAAGTCAATTTAATCAAGTAATACAATAAGGATGTACCAACACGTCTGTCAAAATAATGCATTGTTCAAATCGAAAGATAACGAAATTCGGCGCCAGTTGTTAGGCAAACTTGATAAAAATGCACCGCAGCCTTATAAGGCTGCTTGCATATACACTCGCGAGCAAAACTATGGAATCACTTACATGAAGTTGTTTCCACGCGATCTTGTGTACTAACGAATTTGTTAGTAACAAAAAAAGTGGCACCATTTTAAAGATTAAACTTTTACCTTTAAATTGATACCAAATTCATTTCAATCACACCAGTATTTAAAAAGATATCCCGGCTGATGTGAAGAAGTAAGGAAAAAGACATGTATCAACTGTTATATACGTCGCGATTTGCGGCCTACTTACCCCCTATAAAAGCACGTGTTTAGGGATTTTTGCTTTCACACGTTGATCCGTACACATCTCAGCTTCTTTTGACACTATACCTGGGATTCTACACCTTCAGAAGCAGCACAAATCCTTGCACTATTGCAAGAAAGGCTCAGCCAGCGGGCTGTCGCACGTCAGCTCCACATAAGCCAGTCCTGGGTTTCGAAAGTTTTAAGACGCTTTCGGGAGACTAGTGGCTTTATCCCGAAACCAAGTTCTGAACAGCGCCGGTGCATATCACAAAGGGATGACCGTTTTTTCATGTCAACCTCTCTATGAAATCATCATTTGAGTGGTATCGACGTCCAGCAAGAGCTCAGAAATGTTCGTAGGATAGCTGTTAGCGTGTGGACAGATCGTCTAAGATATAAGCAATAGAATTTGACTCCAAAAAGGCCTGCCACAGGCTCGAAACTGACGGCAGGTCACCGACAAGCACGCTTTCAATTAACTCGCACTTATTTTGATGGGTAGGCGAGTAATGGAGGCGAGTTTTGTTCTCCGATGAATGCAGACTGTGTTTGCAGTGCAGCAGTTGAAGAGGTCGGGTCTATAGGCAGCCTGGGGAGCGATTTGTGCAGTGCTGGTTCGCTGAAACAGTGGCTTATGGGGGTGGCTTGCTCGACTTCCCATCGAGATGTGTACGAGCAAATTGAAAGCGTGCTTATCGGTGACCTGCCGTCAGTTTCGAGCCTGTGGCAGGCCTTTTTGGAGTCAAATTCTATTGCTTATATCTTAGACGAACTGTCCACACGCTAACAGCTATCCTACGAACATTTCTGAGCTCTTGCTGGACGTCGATACCAGTCAAATGACGATTTCATAGAGAGGTTGACATGAAAAAACGGTCATCCTTCTGCGATGTGCACTGGCGCCGTTCAGAACTTGGTCTCGGGATAAAGCCACTAGTCTCCCGAAAGCGTCTTAAAACTTTCGAAACCCAGGACTGGCTTATGTGGAGCTGACATGCGACAGCCCGCTGGCTGAGCCCTTCTTGCAATAGTGCAAGGATTTGTGCTGCTTCTGAAGGTGTAGAATCCCAGGTAAAGTGTCAAAAGAAGCTGAGATGTGTATGGATCAACGTGTGAAAGCAAAAATCCGAAAACACGTGCCTTTATAGGGGGTAAATGGGCCGCAACTCGCGATGTATCGAACAGTTGATACATGTCTTTTTCCTTACTTCTTCACATCAGCTGCGATATCTTTTTAAATACTGGTGTGATTTAAATGAATTTGGTATCAATTTAAAGGTAAAAGTTTAATCTTTAAAATGGTGCCACTTTTTTTGTTACTAACAAATTCGTTAGTACACAAGATCGCGTGGAAACAACTTCATGTAAGTGATTCCATAGTTTTGCTCGCGAGTGTATTATAATATGCAAGGAATAATCTGTCTATATCAATCTATTCAATGTAAGTAGTAGGTAACTTAAATTGCTATATAATTTTCATACCTAAATCCAATAAGTAGTTAAACGACTTCAACAAAGGAGGAGGTTCTCAATTCGGTTGGTATTTTTTATTTCTCAAAGAAAGTTTTTCGCGTCCCCCTTCCAATAACCGGGATATTATGTTTTTCCTGGATCTCAACCTTTCATTCATATCGGTTTATGCCGCTTTGCACTGGATGGAATTCGAATCTTAACTTCGAACTCCTACTATGATGTTAAGATATTCTTCTGATTAAGTTCGTTGCGGGTCCAATGACAGTTTAACTTTCCCCCGGGACAAACTTTACCTTCACTGGTTGGGTTTTTTATTGGCGGTCAAGCTGTGTAGATCCTGGCTATACACAGGAGTTGCAGCGGCCTTCTGTGCAGCAGTAGGAACGACGGGTGGGACTAGTCTCGTAATAGTATATTGGTTTATGTAGGTAGTTTAATTTCACATTTGCCTACAACTGCCAATACTTATTTGAACGTTTATTCCAGGTGATGATGCGCAACATGCGTCAGTTCATGTCTGGGATGAAGAACTACCTCGTCAAGCACGGGGAGAGGGAGTTCGAGAAAGAAGTCGAGAAGGAGAGGCTGAAGGTAATATTGTTTTCTCAGTTATAGTCTATGGCCCAGAACACACGGTGAAACGCAACTGCAACGAAACTGCAACTTCTAGTTACTTTTGAGTTGCTTCAAGTTTCTGCCATAGATTCCATTGAGAGACCACACATGACGCGACCAGTTTGACCAGTTCAAATCGGTTTCAAACTGATCGCGTCATGTGTGGTCTCTCAACGGACGCTATGGCAGAAACTCAAAAGTAACTAAAAGTTGCAGTTTCGTTGCAGTTGCGTTTCACTGTGTGTTCTGGGCCTAAGATCCGAACTATTACTCTTTATTTTAACTTCTTTATCAGATAAGTACCTACTATTTAATTTCTTTTGACGTGGGTTGCACCGACGCATCTTCAGTCAATCCTTGACGTGGAGCATGAATACGTTGACAACTCAAAAATTTCTTATTTTCAGATGGATAGTTATTTCCTGTTTGATAACAAATTAATATTACTTAACATCTTATTGTTACAAAAATTACTATCTACCAATTAAAAAAATCTTGTAGTAAGCTAGATAAAATAAATAGGTTAAGCAATTTTCAGTACTAACTTCCAACATAAAATATAGAGTTTAGCTGAAATGAATGTGGTCTTCAAAAACTTGTTTAGTTGCAAAAAACACGCTGAAACTACATGGCTCACTACATTTATAATTATTTACAGCTAAAACCCATTGATTTATGTAGAGTTTAATTGGGACGTTTAAAGGTTTTAAAGCCTGCTTATTTACAAAAAGATAAAACATCCTGGCTAAAACCCACTGAGTTCTTGAACATCGACGCGACGGGACTGTTAAAATCTGGTTTATATCCTGCTTATTTACAAAAAGGTTGAAACTTCATGGCTTGCTTCATTTATAATTTATATCCAGCTAAAACCCACTGAGTTCCTGAACATCGACGCGATCCTCGAGGGCGTGATGCACCGGCTGGTGGTGCGGCCGCTGCGCGCGCGCCTCTACGCGCTGCTGGCCGGCTGGCACGCGCCCGACGTGCGCCGCCTGCACGCCGCCATCGAGCGCGCGCACCACGCCACGCCGCTACAGCTCGGGGTCAAGGTCAGTCAAAATCAAAATCAAAAATATTTATTCAGTTTAGACCACAAGTGAACGACAAAACGTAGTAAAAAATAAAAAAGAAAAGGTAGCCCTTATTGAGCACTTTACATGTCTCCTTATCTTTTGGGCCCTACCAGCGCTTCGAGACAAAATTCAATAATAAAATTCAATAAAATTCATTTATTTTTGCAAATAGGCTTTTAGAAAGCACTTTTACACGTCCCAATATTAACCCTACCACTGCTTCGGGACAATAAACATATGGCAGTCTTGGCAGTAGTACAAATACGGGGTCAAGGTCGGTCACCTTTACAAAATATCATATTGTGGTAGGCATTTGACATAATGACTGATAACTTATTTATACTGAGCAATCAACAATAAGTTCACATTGTCATGTTGGTATAAATCAACGTGCGTGCATCACGCCACGCCGCTGCAGCTCGGGGTCAAGGTCAGTCACGGCGCATACTGAGCTGATGCCATTTTGGTGCCTGTACCCGTTCTGTTGTCTAGTTTTAGTTATTATCTTGCTGTGTACCTACTTGCATCGAATAAATATTTTTCTTTCTTTCTTTCTTTTTACTTTCTTTCTCTCTCTCTCTCTCTCTCTCTCTCTCTCTCTCTCTTTCTTTCTTTGCAATAGCAGAAAATAGCATATTGTGGTAGTCATTAGATTGACAAAATGAAGATACCTGAACAATCAATAATAACTTAACAACATGTTGGCATAAATCAACGCGCGTGCATCACGCCACGCCGCTGCAGCTCGGGGTCAAGGTCAGTCACGGCGCATACTGAGCTGATGCCATTTTGGTGCTTGTACCCGTTCTGTTGTCTAGTTTTAGTTATTATCTTGCTGTGTACCTACTTGCATCGAATAAATATTTTTCTTTCTTTCTTTCCATCTTTCTTTCTTTCTTTCTTTCTTTCTTTCTTTCTTTCTTTCTTTCAAAATTATAATTAATTACCTCGGCTGATGCCTGCTTGTAATGATAAATACTTGTCATTATACTACTTGCATACACAAATTAATTTTGTTGACAGGAATCCACAAAAGTGCCGTCAGCTGCTGTCCTTGCAGTGATCTCAAAACACTTCCTGAAGATGCAAGAGGCTGACTCCCCGTTGGATAAACTTGAAAACCTCCTCGCTGCCATATCTGTCATGTTCAACGCTGTAAGTATATGTTTTAATATGTCTTTTTTGAACCAGTAATAATTACGATAGTATTTATTTTAGAAAAATAATGAGTTGCATTGTTGCAATAAAAATAAGTAAAAGACCCTCGCATGCCATAATGACACAACTCAATTTTTACCAGATCCGAGGCGAGCGAGCACTAGGCGCGGACGACTTGCTCCCTGTCCTAGCATGGACCGTTGCTCGCTGTAGGCTGGTCTGCGCAGAGCTCGAAGCAGAACTCATGTCGGGACTGCTGCCAGCTGCATTGCTTGCCGGAGAAGGCGGTTACTACTTGACCGCACTGTTCTCTGCTGTAGCCGTGCTGAAGAGACTGGCCCCTGAACCCGGACCGGATAGCGCTACTCCTGTAAGTTACAGTTTTTACTACGTGATATTAGGACCTCTTTTGCACTACTTTTACTTTAGTAGTGTTTATTTCCATGTCAACCAATTTCATTTCATAAAAATAGGGATGATAGTGGAGGAAGAATTAAAACAATGAATAGTAGAGACACTCCTCAAAACAGGAGCTAATCTCACACTTAGCAAGATTTCTTTGTGGTAAAAATGTAGGTTAATTAAAACTTTTTACATCTTCCAGCAGTGGCGTCGTGGCTCAACCGACTGCGGGAACAACGGTGGCGGCGCTGCGGTAGTCCGGGTGGCTTTACCGGACGAGTGCCGCGGGTCCATCCGGCGCGTGGCTCTGCCCTGCCGACCCGGGGCCCGAGCGAGGGACCTGTGCCGGGCCCTGGCTCATGCCGCCGCTATTACCAACCCGCAGGACTATGCGCTGTTTGCGCTACACGACGGACAGGGTGAGTTAACAGAACTTTTCCTTAGAACTCAGGCGCCTGTGCCCTAACTCAGGCCGTATTTACAATATAAACAATGACAAGTCACTATCGTTATGCATGTTTAGAGAATATTTATTTATTTTTTCAATATAAAAATATCTTCAGCAAATACTTCTTATCGTATCCTGTTTCTTTAAACGTGTCCAATTTACATCCGTTACGATAACTAATTTTGTTTGTTTGTTACAGAGACAATGTTGAACGAGAATGATTGTCCACAAGACGTGATGTCAGAAAAGAGCGGCCAGAACTTCATCCTTGCTTACAAGAGGATAGATGCGAAAATCGCATGGCCTCAACAGGCATTGCTTTCTTACCCTTAGGGGGACAGATTTAAAAAGTGACAAGTAATCTCTTAACCTAATTTTACATTGTGAGTTCTAAGACGAATAGGCAGCCAACAAACAGTGCTAAAGCTACTAATAATATCTATTAGTGGAGCTAGCTAAGTTGAATGATCTTTACGATTATTCAAATTAACTTGATTGATTCTTAGCAGTACCCACAGAAGATGTGTAGCCTTAGCCTAAAAATTAAATTCCACAAACATCAAAAAGGTTGTCGACCATGCTCAGTAGAAAAATAAGTGTTGGACGGTACTGTGGTGGAGAAAATCTATATTTTTATCACGTAAATCTAATAAAGTGATATTTTCTACGATATTACGCAACTGATTTTTTAATAACTTCTCATAAGCTTACCTTATTATAAGTACAGCGCTTTTAAGCAGTATTCGAAGCATCGCTAATCAACCTCATGCCTAATGTAATATGTAGCTTTTTTACTCAATAATTAGATTAAGTACCTACCTGATGATTTATCTGACTGAACATTTATTTCGGGTTCTGACTACCCTTTTTTGTACATTTATAATTATAGAGTGTGTATCTTTTCATTGGAGTCGTGTGCAAGTTTCGATGGACATTACAATTTTGTGCATCTATTTTTTAATTTTATTTTTCGCGTAGATTTATTTGACTAAATCTACTGCCTTGAAAAGGTAGTTTTATTTCGAGTGTACCTATGTATGTTCCTAAATTTCGATATGTACACTGAACAAAGTCACCAAATCGTTGTTTTTTAGTTCAAATTTTAGTCGTTCACTAAATTCTTGTTGTTCTAAAAAATTTACTTTTGAAGTATCGGTATTTTACTGTTTAATCTAACTTTTTATGAACTGTGATGTAATTCGTATTAGTAAAGTAAGGATTTTGTATTAATTTTGTATATTCGTAGAGACGTTTCTTAATATAATTTATTTATACGTAAGTTTAAGGCAACTATTTAACACAACGTTAATTAACTGGTGGATAAGTTACAGCGATACAACCGGTTTTATGATCTTAATCTCAAAGATTTCTTTTATATTAACCACACGTATTAGGTTTTACCGAGTGGTCCTAATTTATATTATTATTAATTTTAATCCATTGTGAATTGTTAGTTACTTGGCCAGATCAAGAAGTGTATCAACGTAACTGCTAATAGACAAATAATTTTAAAATAAGCAAAATCAATTAACATAATATTATTATTTCACTGCCATTAATTTTAATTTATGTTCATCACAAAAGACAAATGCAAAATAATTATTTTTGGATGGTTAATTTGTTTATAATATCATAAGTTTTTATTGTAATTAATGAAATAAATAATACATCAGCATTAATTTGATCGCTCAAACTTATTCACCATTAGGGTACGTATTCAGATTAACAGAAACTGCCTTGTCTTTGCCACAGATAATGTTTTTGTAGTATTAAACCAACTGTCTTTGAGTCTTCCTCGCCTATGCTGCTTGGTTGCTAATCTGTGGTAACGTGAGGCTTATAATAATAAGTTTTTGTTGTGAAACACCACACGGAAAAAAATATTATAAAATAATAAACACCCTTTGCTTTATCAATTAATATATTATATTTTTATTCTCCTGCAAAAAATTGTTATCTCTTATTAATAATTACGTGGTTACGTTTAACCATTTTTAGAATCGACAAAAAAAAATAATGCCCGATATTTTGAAATTTTAAGTTGTACCATTTTGTCTCGCATGTGACTAATTTTAGGGGTGTTTATCTCAAACAATTTTTAATATTTTATCTGTAAAAGACAATAAAGTCTTAATCCTTGGAGTTTTACAAAGAACCGAAACATCTGAATATGTCTGGCGCCTGGACGCCATTTTGTATTTATTGCAGTCTGTATGTTAACGTTAGTTATATAACACGTATATTGTGTTTTGATAACATTTTCAGTCATTTGTGAAGAAGTAAAGGAATTTTTACCAAACTCTATTGTATTTTGTTATTTTTAACATTCCTATGATCCTAGATCCATTCCTGAAAATAGTTCTCAGAGTTACTAATTACTCAAAAGTCTACCCTTTTTATGCACCTACACGTTACATGCTAATAAACTGAAAACATTTTGAAAGCAATGATAGCTTGAAATTAAAAACTAATATCTAACTATACTGAAACCTTCTCAGTTGTTAGGTAACTGTTAGTAACTAATATCACTTGCTATTAGATACCTGTAAATACTACAACGTAGAATCTAACACTAAACTTTGCATTAGACACCCTGTATGACGAATGATAAATCTCTTAGGTCAAGACACGATATTGATTTAACAGTGACACCATGACAACAATAGTTTATAAGCAAACTATTGCCTATGTGTAGGTTAAGGAGTGAACTAGAATTAGTTGAAATAATCTTCCGATTCTAAGAAAATAAAGTGTAGCAACCAAACCAAACAAGAAAATGCAGGCAGAATACCTAAAAACCGATCCCTGTCCGTCCTGGGATCCAGTTCGTATCAGATATCCAGTCAGAAAGTTTCCTGAAACAGGAGAGTCCAGCGAAACCATTGGCAGGAGATGGAGGAGTCAGCCGGAGACAATGATGTTCGGGGTAAGTAGGTACTTACCTATGTATCACTCATGTCTGCTTCTTATCAGGATTACGTGGCTTAGGAAGTCTGACCAGACTGTTTATTACCTATTTTCCTACAAAACACAGAGCGTAAGCAGAAACTTTAAGTTCGTGACAGTTTCTAAAATTGCGTTGCGAAGCTAAGCGTTATTTACATACTAAAGCTGAGTTGCACCACCTAACTTTGACCATAACTATAACGATAACCGGTGTTTCTTGTATGGAGCTTGACAGATTTTTGACGTTTGTTAAAGCCAGAGTAAGATAGTGCAACGAATCGGAAATAAAATCGGACGGACCTAAAAATCGGAATTAAAACTGTCAATTATTATGTTACTTTACGTATCCGTCGATAACAGGGGAAAGTCATAGCGAGAAAGCGCTTGGGAGCGTAGGACCGGTTGTGATGACCGTAGGAAATCCTTGCAAGAGACCTATATCCAGCTATGAACGTGTTATGGGGAAGGAAGGCCCGATTTCAAATTACTTAAATACTCGTGCCTACCTATTTTCAGATTTCAATCAATCTGTCAACCATGTTTCGATAAAACGTTATCTATATCTATAAAAGCGAAAGGTGCCGATTGAATGACTCATTCATCACAAAATATCAGAAACTACAAGTGCTAGAAGTCTCAAATTTTGCATGGGGGTTCCTTTTAGAACGTAGGTGCTTACCAAGACGGGATTTTGCAAAACTCAACTCCTAAGGGGGTAAAACGGGATCCACGCGTACGAAGTCGCGGGCGGCCGCTAGTATAAGGAATAGGTAAGACCATAGCTCATTAATTAAATTGGTATTTTCAGAAAGCACCTATAGAAGAAATCAAGAACTACATGAGAGACTACATCATAACTAAAGAGCTGACACAGTCGCAAAGTACGAAGGACTTCGGACGCAAAGCGCCGGAGACGAAGAGGTTCAACAAACACACTTCTTGTACCGAGAATGAGTACATCTACCCTCTTAGCAGAAGAGTAAGTTTATGTATAATAATCAAACGATGTAGGTGAAAATTCTTCTCACACCAGTTTTGAGAGATTGGCAAATATCTGAAAGAGCAGATTGAGTATAAACTAGCCCCTATATTTTCGACAAATGGAAAGTGTACTAAACCATAACTGATTATCTGATGTTTCTACTCGTAGTACTCATCAACATTCTAAATATCTTATGTATTACATAATAATACTACTGCGTACATTACATGAGGAAGGAAAAAAAAATTATTGTTACAATTATTTTTTAAAAAATAAGCGAATTCTTGACACAGACATTCTTGTAAAGCAGAATTCCCACATACTTCGATCATTAAGGAAAACTAATCTAAGTTCAATGGTAATTTCAGCTCGAAGAAAGAGTACCACTATGTTCTGCGCATGCGACTTCGGTGATGAAAACCTCTTACCCTCCACCCACCACCCCTCCAAGATTGGTGACCGACAAGGATCAGTTCAAGCATCCTGCCAGCTTAACACCAGACCCAGTAAGTGTCATAAATTCCTTTCACCAAATAATGAGTAGCAAAAATCTGTAAAAAGAACACAATTTAGCAAGACAGAATGAATCATAGATTATTTCAAAGTTGATAGAGCTAACTGGGTGCCTTTAAAAGAAACAAATGATAGATCTGACTTCTCCACCCAACGTAAAGCGCTTGCGCGATCGCGAGTTCGCGACCCATGACAGTCCACGCGACCTGTCATTGGCCTATGATCGCGCCAGGGATGGCGATCTGCACGCGTTGGTGTGGTTGAGGTCACTTCCTATAATATTACTAACATAAACTCTACATTACAGCTAGAGATCGAGCCCAGCTGGCACAAAGAACTAGAACCTCTAGACACGACACACGAAGGCTTCGAAAAATACCTGGATCCCTACCTGACTACCAGTCGCTTGCACCACCGGCCGTTCACTGCTGATCAGCTCAGTAAGCTATCAGCTTCGAATGACATCATCACTTATTACACGTTTTCTGAAGATCCATGGGTAAGTTAACTCTATGAGCACTGTCCACTGAAACCTATTGACATTTATTTATTTTTACACATACCTAATAATAATATCAGCTCCAACTGAACCTTCTCATGATTTAAAGACTGGCCGGTAATAGCCTTCTTGTAGTTGAAGTACTTAGTAGAGAGGGTTCAGTTGGAGCTGATATTATTATTATTACCATAATCAGAAGTAGACGACCTGTGGCTGAAATGATGATGTTAATTTATTGAATCTTTCTTCCATCTACTATGTAGCCATCCTACACTATACAGAGTCAAGAGTGGTCCAGACCAGAGAGATATACATTTGTTAGAAAGTTAACATTAAGTGAAGGGTATTCAAAAGTATATTTTTGATGGCAATATTTTCGATTTCCCGCGTATTTTTATTTGAAACTAGCTTTCCGCCCGCGGCTTCGCTCGCGTGGAATTTTGTCTGTCACAGAAAAACAATATCGCGCGCGTATTTACTCACCGTTTAGACCTACCCTGGACTACGACAAACATTTTAAAACCAAAATCAGCTCAATCGGCCCAGCCGTTCTCGAGTTATAATCAGACTAACGAACATCAATTCATTTTTATTTATATAGATTATACAAAAAGCGTAAAAACAAGTAATAGTCATATGTATTTATATTAGTAGTTTATAATTTTAAGTGACACATAAGAATATTTTAAACTATAAAACATTTAAATGTTCATTACGTAACTTTTTGTTTTTGTGACATATCTTGTTTTGCCCCTGTACAAGTTAGCTCATCCTTATAAGATCCCACCACCAGTGCTTTCGGTTTTCGGAATCTTGTATAGGTAGGTACTACTCAAAACATTTTAGTATTTTTTTTTACTAAGTTCGAGTATTATTTCAGATCAGAAGACCGAAGCACAAGTCAGAGGAATGGAGACTGCCTCTCAGCAAACAGAAGTCTATCTACGATAGAGAGAAGTTCAAAGAGGGTTTTAGGGAAATCCGCACACACAATAATCCGCAATGGGTACCAGGGTAAACTATTCAATAAAACTGTTTATTTATTGTTTCTCTTTATCTATTGTTAGGTAGAACTAGGACTCTATGGACAGTGACTTAGGAATAAGCGACTCTACAAGTTAGTTTCCCTCCTTACCTTATATCCTGAGCACCAAACCTGTAGTTCATTATTGTTCTTCTTTCTTCTGTAGCAACTGAGGTGTAATGTCTAATCTGATGTGGTGGTCTGATATCGATCAACCTTAATTCAATGTTATTTCTCCAAAAAAAGTCAACAAATTCGAATTCCAATCATAATTTTGGTAAAACCACATGATACCCAGTCCACACAAACAACAATTCAAATTCTTAGTATGTAAGTAGGCTCTTTTCAATGTCTTGTCTTGAAAACCTAATGGTACAATCATTTAATAATTCTCAAAATGAAATATTTTATTTGATTACTAATTTCTTCTTTGGCAGCACATTCCGCACAGAAGTACGAGACAACTATCGCCCTCAGTCAGTCAGGATGCTATCCCACGTGGAACATCTAGAAGAAGACGTGAGGAACTACTACCATCGCTTAGTAGCTGGTCTGCCAACTAACGCTCCTGCAGAATATACCGCTACCTTGAAGAACTATAGATCGGAGACCACGCACATGGGGACAGGCAGGCCTATATGCTCGGCTTTGGACCAACATGTGGAGAAGAATATTAGGTTGGAAAGAAGGAGTATGGCACGATAAATTGTGCAACAAGCATCATAGCATTTAGCTCTTGTCGTAAGCATAAGCTAACTATGTACTTTAAAAGGCTACTGTTAATTAATTGAATAAGAATTACTATTGGTATAATTTCAAACACCTACTCATTATTATTTGTTATTTTATTATTTCATAAGATATTGTATTCAGGTATCTACTTACTTTAGCTTCTTCAGTTAGTTGCTGGAGGTAATGCAATCACATCAAAGGTTGGTTCTAGGTAGGTACTTAAATGCGAACATCCACTAGAAATAATTACCAATTACCTATCTACTAATTAAACCTGTATTGATTATGAAATCAGTAAGGAATAAAATAATACAGCTAACCAACCTCGTTTCATTTTAAAATTATAGACAAGAAGGTAAATAAATATCTTTGAACCGATTTTGATACCGATCTGACGTCACTGTGACATTTTGACAATGTCGCATAATAGTAAACACAAATAAATACTGATTAAAATGGATTATCAAGCCATAAAATATATTATTATCTGCAAAATGGATCAAATATAAAACTAATTCAATCATTAATTGAAGCCAATGAAACAGAAATGGATTTAACATAATGGGCAAAGCAAAACTCATACAAAAATCCAGCAAAATGCTTTCCAAACATAAATGGAAATACTGGTGTTCCTTGTGGTGATAATGGTGATATTCTATGCACTATACTTGATACAGCCTTACTGGATTTTGGTTATATCATTAGCTTTCGCCTATTCTTTGTATGTTCAACTCACCATGATATTTTGACTTTTGGGTAAGTGTGTTTTTCTATAGTTTATAAAGAGGAAAAGATTTGATTGTTTGGTTATATTGAATAGGACCGAAACTACTGGACCGATTTGAAAAATACTTTCACCGTCCGAATCCTGCATTATTTTTGATAAAATAGGCGGTCCTACGGAGTTTTCCCGGTCAGCTAGTGAGTAAATAAACGTTATGAATAAAAGTTTAGATCGGCCTGGGGTTTCGACGAGCCTCTTTGCGGACAAATTATGCCTTATACCTAAAACGGTATAAGAAAACAATGAGTAAAAATGTAGAAATGGTAGAATAAGTGTGCTCACCTGTGAAACAATTATTTCTAAACCTAGAGAGAAATCACGGTTTTGGGGAGTCAGCTGGCTCGAACGTCACAATTTAACGAAAACCATCTTAGTTAAGTTAAACATAAACACATAAATCAAAGGCCACTGACTTAAAACTACTTGGAACTGCTAAAATTTAATTAATTTAGGTAGGTAGATAGTTAATTGGTTTTTTCTTTAGCCTTCATTATCAATAAGTAATGAAGCTACCTACATTTAGAAAATCAACAATTATCCACAAACGTGTTCCGGAATTGGCATTGCTATACTTAAACGGTAAACTTGTACGTCCGTCGCAACTAGTTTGAAATCCTCTATAAATAATTTGCAATGTCTTTTTCAATACTAATGACACATTATAAAATGTCGAAACGTACCAGGTGGTCGGAACTCGCTAGTCAACAGCAAATAATTGTACCATTCACGTGTTTAACTGTTTACACAAATGTTGCAGACAGTTCGCAACCACCACTCGCTTGCTTCACTTGTTTATTTTAGAATAAAAACTTTTTTGAAGAACAAAAAGCGGTGAAAAAAGTAAAAATCCTCTCGAGTGCCAGTGACGTGCGTAAAAGAGTTGCGCGCGCTTTTTTGACAGTAAGACATCATGTTTAAAAAGTTTTTATTTGTGTTTGTTGTGTTTGTCGCTGATGGTTTTGCTACGGGTTACACGCCACAAAAGGTGATTTTATTATTATTTTGATAATTATCATTGTAAGTTCTTCATAATTTTGAAAATAGTATTCTAAAATAATTATTTCACAAGAAACCTCTGTTATTGACACTGAAAGAAATTAATGTAAATGCACGTTGTATGGTTTTACGGCAATACAATGAATGTTATTAAATCATTTTACAGCACGATTATGCAAACAATAGCAGCAATTTACGGTTGATTTTAGTTTCATGTTTGAATGAATACAATCACATTGTATTATTGTATTTAACGTCACTGTGTGCGTTTACCGGTATCCTTTAATAGTGTGGACAGAAAACAAAGTTATGGACTCTTTCTTAGGACTCCTACTTCTAGTTCCTATTTAAATCATACAGGGTGGCCCAGAAGAAAGTTCACTTTTGAAAATTCAAGGAAACGAAAACTGTAAATTTTTGTAGAACTTTAACTATTGCAATTTAAAGGAAATTTAGTGCAATTTATTTTAAAATTTACTTTCTCTCATAAATTTTATCGTACATGTGATTCCCTTGACGTTTACAACATTCGGTCAACATACATCAAAATGTTGGAAAACTTTCATTAGAGTTACCTCGAAATGGATTCAGGATGAATGAATGCTGCAGAGTTTTTGGATTATTAGAGTATACTCTGCTCATAAGGTAACCCCACAAAAATAAGTCTGCTGGAATGAGATTATTAGCGCTTCTTAGAGGCAGTGAGATTTTACCCCTGCTTAATTGGTTTGTTGCAATGAAAGGATGATTAATTTTTGAGAGCGCTATACTGGTAGGCTGAAAAGCTTTTTGATTTCAAAGCTGCAAGATTCGCAAGGCTATGACCTGAGCACTTGATTTCATCAAGATGGGGCTACGTGTCACACTTCAAATGAGAGCATTTATATGGTAAGAGACATGTTCCCACAAAAAAAATAATTTCAGGCAGGGGTGACATCTCCTGGCCCCCAGGAAGCCCTGATCTCATTCCAGAAAATTATTTTTTGTGGTGTTACTTAAAGAATAGAGTGTACTTTTATAATCCAACAACCATGCAGCAACTGAAGCTGAGTATTCGGAAAAAAATTGAAAATAGGTTTCGAGGTAATTCTAACAAACACATTTCAAGATTTTGATGTATGTTGATCGAATGTTGTAAGCGTCAAGGAAATCTCCTGGGCGATGTAATTAAATAAAGTTAAATTTAAAAATAAATTCCATTAAATTTCCTTTAAATTGCAATAGTAAAAGTTCTATAAAAATGTACAGTTTTCGATTCCTTGAATTTTCAAAAGTGAACTTTCTTCTGGGCCACCCTGTACAAGACATTAGGCATAGGCACAAAATATAACAGAAGGTAAACTCATGTATGTACCTCGCTTTGCATACCTCTCTCGCTCGCACGCTCGGCCGTCGCGCTAGGGTTGTCTTGTCATGTGTTGCGTTTATTTCGTTATTGATAGAAAAATGTTACTCTTAATACTATGCAAGAAAGACAATAACAGATATCCACGTATACTTATTTATATTTAGTACGTTATTATAGTAAGAGAAGGAAGTAGGATTTAGTTGAGTGGTTGACACTATNCAAAATTCCACGCGGGCGAAGCCGCGGGCGGAAAGCTAGTAAACAATAATACTGTAAAGTTACATCAAAATCCGTTCAGTAGTTTTTGCGTGAAAGAGCAACAAACATCCAGACATCCAAACTTTCGCATTTATAATATTAGTTGGATAATAGTCACTCAACTAAATACTACTTCCTTCTCGTGTATTTGTTTGTAAACTATTACTATAATAACGTACTAAATATAAATAAGTATACGTGGATATTTGTTATTGTCTTTCTTGCATAGTATTAAGAGTAACATTTTTCTATCTTATCGAAATAAACGCAACACATGACAAGACAACCCTAGCGCGACGGCCGAGCGTGCGAGCGAGAGAGGTAGAGGTACATACATGAGTTTACCTTCTGTTATATTTTGTGCTAGAGCGGTGTCTGTCTATGTGTGCGTGGCTCGAGCGCGTTTAGTATGGAGTTTGTCTTCTGTTATATTTTGTGGCATAGGATTGGATCCAGCATCCCTAAAGTAGTGACAGAATATTATGGATCGCAAGTCAAGCTGGTACTTAGCTATTTATTTATAACTTTATTACTTTATTTACTTTATTTTTATTTCAATAGGATTTTGAGTATTAAAAAACTTAACAAATAACTTCGGCCAAAAACTTTTTATGGTGCTTATTTTGAAGCTTTGTAAGTACTTTCAGGACCGCACAATATCGTTCGTTCGTTCGTTTCGGCCAAATGACGTCCACTGCTGGACAAAGGCCTCCTCCAAGGTTTTCCACAATGCACGGTCCTGCACAATATAAGTTACGATTAACTTACGAAACTTGACTTTTCAGTCCGTAACTATATATTTTAGAGAGATTTTAATATGTAACGGGATGGGACTTCCTTGTAACAAACTGTCCTTAGACATAAAAATGGCCATAAAAACTTTATTTTACCGGTAAGGATATCCGGCACATTAAATTAAAATATAAGTGTCATGTGAAATGGAGAAAGTAATCCACGTCTTTAATTGATTTGGATCATCTGAAAGTGACCAGTAGATAGTATTAATACTTTCTCCTTGAATAATGTGAAAGATTTATAAGTAACTTGCATTTTCAAATCAATTTGTTGTATTTTCATAGTTTCTCATAAAACAATTAGATCGTACACTAATGATCATTTAGGTAATGAATGAGAAATAAATGATGTTTGTAATAATTGTAGACAATAGTCTAGTCAAGTAATGACTTGTGTGAGAATTGTTTTTCTGTTTGTCAATTTGCATGGCAAACGTACAATTTACCGCAGCAACAAACACATATATTGTAAGCTTCTTATTCAGTATGTAATAGGTGCGATTTTGCATCGAAAATATAGACGGGCGATTGTACCTACTTAGAGCCATTATTATTTTTAAAAGCAATCATTCTGGTCAAATAAGCGGAAAGTTATATTTGACAGGAACATACAAAAGTTTTAGCGAGTTATTCGCACTTTGTTATTGTACACAAAACTTGTGAATAGATTATAAGTTTAGCATATAGGTGTTAGATGTTTTACTGTGAATAATATTTAGTCAAGTTTTTTGGGTACAGCAAAAATTAATGCCGAATAATAATAATTAGTTTTCTTTGGCTCTTGGCTTCATTTAAAAATCTATAGCTTTATGAGCATAATACTAACTATGTATTTGACAATGTATGCACATAAGGCATCAAAGTCCTTACAATATAGGTTTGGTCGATACTAGTGCAACTTTCACTGCTCTACTACATCCGAACGAGTTAACCTCGCATACATAAGCAGTGAGAATATAGTTCATATGATATTTAGGTCACATAATCTCAAATCTACGCATGCTGAGCCCACATGAAACTTTATATTGAGGCTTCGATTGCTATGGAATGTTTATAAAAGCTGTAAGTAAAATATTTGTAGAAATTAACATGTTTAGAAATTACTTTAGGAATAACTTGGTCCTGGAAATGTGTAACGACTTGAAAGTAATACGAGTAGCTGATTAACTCTATACCCATAGTAGGATATTTTTCTACAGGTAAGGAAAGGACATAATATCTTTTCTTAAAGGTTATTAAACCTTTTTTGTCACCTGTCATCCGCTTTGCAATGGAGGGAAGTCGAACCTTAATTTCGAACTCCTCCTATGTTCTTCTGATTAATTTCGTTGCGGGTCCACTTTCCCCCGGGACAAACTTGACCTTCATTGGTTGGGTTTTTATAGCGGTCAAGCTGTAGTTCCTGGCTACACAGGAGTTGCAGTGATGGGCACGAGAGGTGGGAATAGTCCCGTATACAGTCAGGGTGATCATTTTCTTCTTTTCAAACCAATACCCGGATACCAATCACCCGGACTGTATGTCAAACCCGGAGCATGTACCCCTTTTAAATGGTTTTTGTGCTTTCCAGCTGTTCATCTCAGTGTACTATGAGAGTCGATGCCCGGACAGCAAGGCGTTTGTGCTGGAGCAGCTGCGGCCGGCGATGAAGCTGCTTTCAGACCACATTATGCTCATGCTAGTGCCGTTCGGGAAAGCAAGGGTGAGTTTCAACTGTAACTTCAATGTTCTAAGAATGTTTGGAAAGTCTAGTCAACTCTAGTCCGATGAGACACTGGTAAACTGCTGTTTTTGCTTCATCATTGTCATAATCATCGACTCATTTATTTTCCACTGTTAGAACACGACCTTCTCTAGCTTAACACAGGACAATTGAGGATTTGATCTGGCCGCTGGCCAAACGGGTTAAGGAGAACCCTAACGCAACAGGCGACACTAACATCCTTTTGCAAATGAGTAAAAATTATTATTCAAAAAAATGTATTCCTGCCGATGAAACAGTTTTAACAAAAATTTACCGTACATATTGTACCTAAAGATAACTCATTACGTAAGTACGAGAAAACATTATGACGTCCACAATGCTATTCGTGACGTATTTGCTGCTCACCTCGTTTGTACAACTTGATCGGAATTTGGCCGTGCGTCTGTGGTCTGATACGGATCATAAGCCTTGATCTTGATAAAATCCATTGACTTTGCGACAATACGACTGACCCATTTTTACGCATTGAATTTTTCAGAGTATAAACCAAGGATACGGTGGTTTCCAATGCCAGCACGGTCCGTCCGAATGCCTGGGCAACGTAGTTCAGAGCTGTGCCCTGGACCAAATGCTGGACCGGACTGACGCCCAGAAAGTGGACTACGTGGCGTGCGAGTTTGAAACATTCGCTGGAGCTAAGGGGGATCTCTCGGTGAGTACGTTAGAACTTTAGACGAGTCTTTTTAGAACTTCTTGAAATCATAATTTGGCATCTTAGGTATTTAGTTGTAAAGCTTTTGGAATGATAAGGTTAGGCTCTAGATATTCTGACCGCAAAACAATTTCTCTAGATCGGTTTTCCCATTTATTACATTCACCATTCATCTTCTTTTATTGTTTGGGCTTAGGGCTTCTAGCTGGATGTTCCGCTAAATATTTTCTTTAAATCTAGATCCCGGATTAATTTAGATTCCGGATTTTTTTGAGTTCAGATATAGCGCAAGTTAAAAGTCGAGCGCTAAAGGCGTAAAGGCGTTGGTTAGATACTTTATTTTAAAAAGGTGTGTCCAAAACCTACCTAAATGTTTATTTCTATCTATCAAAATTACATTTTGCGTAAAGCACTTGTCAGTCCGCCTACGCCAGACGATAGCGGCCAGCGCAATTTGTTTGTGTTGATGACCCATAAATTAATTGATGACGTAACCCATCCCCTGTTTTGTTCCAGTGCGTGCAAAAAGCGAATGTTTCCCCTGACCTAGTAAGGGACTGCATGGCATCAGGCAGGGGAACGGAACTGCAGCTCGACGCGGAGTACCTCACGCGGCTCGTCAGCCCGAAGTTCGTGCCCACGGTCACTATTGATGGGGTGAGTGCTTCATCATTGTTATCATCATCATCATTTTCAGCTTAAAACAGTTCATTGCTGGATGGAAGCTCCAATAGACGCCGAATTCTGAGACCTACAAAATGTTCACGATATTTTATGCGTCATTGATTTATCCTACTTCTAAAAACAAATCCAATGCTTAGTCAAGAATTGTTACCTTTTCTTCGATTTTAACAGTCAATCGCGCTTTATAGTTCTACCTGTAGGGCTTTATATAAAAATAATATAGAAGTGAAGCCCTTGACGAACACTGGTTTAAAATGTCATTTCCATACTAGATGTCAATTTAAACCAGAGTTCAACCAGAGTGACTTTTTGTAATAAGGGACCCCCCTTTGTTTTTTGGAGAGACCTTTATCCATTACCAGCAGCTGATCCCGTTTTACCTCCTTAGGGGTAGAGTTTCATAAAATTCGTTCTTAGTGAGCATCTAAAAGGAACGCCCTTGCAAAATTTGAGACTTCTACCACTTGTAGTTTCTTAGATTTCGTGATGAGTGAGTCAGTCAATCAGTGACCTTTCGCTTTTATAGATATAGATAGATTTGACGTCCATTGATTAAAACTACGATTATTATTTGGTTCCAGATATTCAACCAGCAAATCCAAGACTCCTCGCAAGTGGACCTGGTCGGTACCCTGTGCTCGGTGCTCAAAGAGACTCCAATCTGCGCGCGCCACTACAACTCCATGGCCATGAGATACGTACTCTTCTGATTAAAACACTTTTGTATTTAGATCTAGTTTAATTTCATAGTCTTACAACCAAACTTCACTATAAGAAAATTACACGATGTTGACACTTAAGTTATTAAGAACATTAATACGTTATGTAGTAAGAACTGATACAATTTGTGATTGGTATTGAATGAATCAAAATACGATTTGGTATATCCGATCACATTCTAGTACCTACCAACGTTACATCTTTACGTCTTGACTTACTTTGAACTTTACATCAACTGCCGCTAAATTCCCTGCTAGTTCTTTGATATTATTATGCATTATCAATAAGTCCAACAAAATTAAGTTTATAGGTAATACCGGTAAATACGTATTTGTTAGTTGGATTTATTATTACAAAATATTTTTTTCGTTTTGCACATAAACTGTAATACTGATATTTAGTATCTTCTATTTATTTTTGTAGTTTCGACTAGGGTAACCTTTAAGGATTTGCCACACTGGACGCTGTCTATGGCCAGGCTGCATTCACTTTGTTGGAACTGCGCCTCGATTTCACTAAATAATATTTTCAACTGCAACACAACTGGACGACGAAAGAAAATCAGCTGTTTGCTCAAATTCGTATCGTAAACTATGCGTAAACGGAACGCAACTGCATCTTTGTGTAAAAGCTGACAGAAAGCTACTTTATCTCAAACGCAATTCAAACGCTTCACGAACATTTGCTGTTTTAGTGAAAAAATAAGGTGTTCGGACTTTTAATAGAAAGTGCTTAAAAACAATGTTTCGTCTTTGTGTGCAACTGAACTTTATCGCGATACCGAATTGCACATCAGCTGGAATGAATATGGACTGTAACTGGAGGGTGGACTAGAGATGAAACGCGAATGAATTGGAGACATTACAAATTAGCCCATCGGGGCCCTGACCGCAATCCGCGTCCAGTGTGACAAATCCTCTAAGATACGGGGCAAGTTATGAAGGCGAGTTGTCAACGATCCACTTGTAGTAGTGCGCGACGTTTATATACACGCTGGGCACTCCCTCGCTGCCGCAGTTCTCCGAGCCGAAGGATACAATGCCGACCTGAAACATTTTAATGGTTAATTAATAGAAGGTAGATCCATGGAGGGAGACAGACCCATGACGTGGAGGACCGACCCCAAATAAAATGGGAATAGGCCAGGCAAAGAAGAAAGAACAAGATAGACCCAATACACTGAACTGAATCCGTGACATTGACAGGGGGCGCCACCGTCAATACCGGATCGCTTGTTCCGATTTTTGCCATGTTGGAAACTATAAAGGTGATCATGGTGGCGCTCCCCTGTCAATGAGTTTGGTGGGACATTTCAGTTTAGGTTATCTATCAATAGATCATTTAACTATTTAGAATCCACTGCAAGTGCATGACTGTTCCTAAACCAGAGGGAAATGGAGGATTTTGACTTTTTTCCTACGCAGAACAATAATAGTATCTATTTAGGAAGTACTTTTTATCTAGCATTAATGTCAGACTCAATGAACCACCACGAGTCGTTTGTAATTTTTTCATCCTGGAAATTTGGTCCTGGTGGCGACGAGTTGCATTAAACTTTATCATAAAATCCAGAATATTCTAACTAGCGTTGAGCGCGCCAATTTCATCCTGACAATCAGGATGGTTCATGCCCGATGGTTCAATACCTAAGCAAAATGGTAATAAATACACCAAGTAATTTATAACTAACAGGCAGTCCTCAATCTCTTAACAGTATTGACCACTAACGAGATGTCAAATATCTTTAATTTCATATTAGGTCCGAACTAGACCGAAGTTTAACAACAGCTAGGGACTGGAATTCGCTGCCCGCCGCTGTCATTCCTGAACGCTATAATCCGGGCCTTTTCAAGGCGAGAGTAAATAGGCACTTACAGGGCAGATGTGTACCATCCTAGACTGCATCTCACTTAACACCAGGTGCGATTGCGGTCAAATACCTGCCTTGTCATGCATAAAAAATGTACTTTGTTTCCGCCAATGAGTTACGTTATAGATCCTCACCTGCACATAGCTCCCGTTCCTCATAACCATTAGTGGTGATCCTCCGAAGCTCGAGCAGGCGTCCTTTCCTTCCTCGCCGCCCGCGCATAACTGTCCCTCGTGTATTGTTACGGATTTTCCGAAGATGCGGTCGCACACCTCTAGGGAGACCAAGGGAACTTCAAGAAGCTGTTGGCGGCTCACCTGGAAGATGTCATCATCATCATCAGGTCATCTACACTCGACATCAAATAAATCGCACCTCCCGCGACAAGCATTTTCAAACGTATTCATCCCCACTTCTCACCAATATTGGCACCATTTAAAAGCCTAGTTCTACACTTCATTTCATTAAAGGATAGGTATTTACCCCAAAAATGTGTCTTTAGAAGGATCCAGAGTCACTTCTTCAAAAAATAGGTAGTTACGCTTGAGCTAACTTTTATGGCTATAAAACTGTTATGTTGGGATTAATCGCTATCCGTCTGTTAAAGAAGACACGTGTGATCATTATTTGGTTTTATAAACATAAAATTTGGTCTAATTGATCCCCGAGGTGAGCCCAAAGTGAGGTCTGTTTTCAAGTCACATTTATGGTTAATGTTAATCATTTATTAAGAAATTAAATGTGTTTTTCTTTAAGGATATTTATTAGGCTTTCAAATAACACCAATATTGTTAGGGCACCATGATTGTGTCAGAAGAAAATCTTTAAAGTTCACGTCGCGGAATGTGCGGTTTATTTGATGTTGAGTGTAGTTACGGTCAAAGTAATTTTGTGCAACTCAGCCTTAGTCTCAACTGCAGTCGCACGAACCCTCTAATTTAGTAGGGACAAATAAAGGATTTCACACTTCCTACGGCCTGACAGGTTCAAGACGTAAACAAAAATAATTAGGTAAGTACTAACGGCAACAGTGTTAGCTGTCTCGTTTTATCGCAAAGAATCACCTTGAAGAGATCGAGAGCAAAAACGGAAATGGATAGTTAATTAAAACTGTGGCCGATAGTAGTAGGTACTTTGTGAAAGATGCATTGAAGAATGAAAGATTCTATGATTCCAAACTGTAAGCCTACTTATATAATTCATTATTATATTTATATATTTTACAACATATGTATAGATCTGATAATAATAGTTTTATTTAATATTGTAAGTTAACCTTGATTATTGAATGCAATTATGTAATGATATCGACTACTTCCGTTTCTTTAGGAAATACTTCATAGTTTTGTTTATACAATTTATTAACGTGCTGTAGGTAATTGATTATTATTATTAAATTATTTATTAAATTATTATTGTAAATAAATACAAATAAATCAAAGTTATGAAGTATTGTAATTAATAAAGACAGTGTATTGATACCCGCGGTTGTCGATACTTCTGTGCCATGGCGGCATTCTTGTTCGAGCTGTGAAACGAATTGTATTGCACAAGAAATATACGAAGTGATTGGTGAATAACTGTGTTTGAGTTTCCACGTCTTCCATTTCTGAGGCTGTCTCATAAAACAATAAATAAGGATGTAAGATGTAAACCACCATTTGATTGCATTACTGATTCGCGGTACGAATGAAATCATAACCGGTATGTGATAACATAATAACCAGTTACCTATTCAATAAATGGCCAGGTAGATACATCATTTATTGAAAACGGAGAGTAAGGTCAACCTAATTATCTTCATGCATCATGAAATTCATGTTGTTCAATAACTATTTTAAGCCGCGTGTTTAATGTTTTCATGATGAGTTTTCTGCGAATATGGTAGTTTATGTGAAAGATTTTCCTGTAAATTTGCTAAAAGATCGTAATAGAAATATTTTGAAAATGTGAACTATTTTTATACCAACTAGATACCTTGATGTTTTAAGCAACATTTCAAAAGATCAGCAACTTGGAAAACATTGCAAAGTTCAATACGACATAGGTAAGTACAATGTAATAAACTGGACAAACAAAATATTATGGAAATAAGTAAACAAGAACTTCCTGTAAAGCTGAATTAGAGTCAAAGATACATGTATAATAAAATTTTCAATTTATTGTACTCACCACATTAGTCTGTCCATAAAGCGTCCCCCAGCCGACCAGCAAAGCTCGCTCGTTTAAAACCACCTCCGGATTACTGGTCAAGCATACAGGTGCTGCTGTCACTGTAAAAACACAATGAAATTAGTTAACATACAGTTTATATGTGTTAGGCCCAGAACACACGGTGAAATGCAACTGCAACGAAATTGCAACTTCTAGTTACTTTTGAGTTGCATCTAAGTTTCTGCCATAGTAGATTCCGTTGAGAGATCACACATGACGCCATCAGTTTGACCAGTTCAAATCGGTTTCAAACTGGTCGCGTCACGTGTGGTCTCTCAACGGACGCTATGGCAGAAACTTAGATGCAACTCAAAAGTAACTAGAAGTTGCAGTTTCGTTGTAGTTGCGTTTCGCCGTGGGTTCTGGACCTTACAGTCAAAAGTGCCTACTTTTGACTGATTATGAGTTTTAATTGTAACGTGTGCTTTATTATGTCATTTGGTGATAAGTTCGCAATGTCTTTTCCTTTCAATAACAATGATCCTATGATCAGATCTTACTTCATTAAATTTGAGAAAAACACACTATAAATTCGCTCAAATCCGATTCATTGACAACAATGATTCAACTAAATTAAATATCCCATGACCCTGGTAACTTCATCAATGTCACCAGCAGCTCCAATTATTCGATTATAATGCCCAGAGCACGGATGATGGTCATGATCCTGTCAAGGGCACGTCGGAAGCCAGGAGTCAGCTTCAATGACATTTCCGCGATGATCAGACGATGACCCATATTTCCGGTTTTTGGCCAGTTCCCGGAACGATTAGCATCAAAATGTTATCTACACCTGACATACAAAAGCTAATTGCGTTTTCATTTAAATTCTTTTGAATGCTTATGCTAAATCGTTCATACAAGCCAAAATTACATGTAACATAAAGTTAAATTGTATTTTTGTCAGTTCTGGTAAACAGGTCCCAAATACCTTGGCCGCCTAGTCTGGTCTGTGTATCGAATTGGCACCCTACCGAATTACTAGCCCAAAAGGTTCGGAATTGATTCTTGTTATCTAGAGGTCGGAATAAATTTGAATAAAAATGGTAAAGATGGTATGTATCACAGATCACAGACACTAAAGGGAGACGTGACAGGGGGGCGGTGCCAGTGTCGCAGCAATATGCCCAAAAACAGAACACATTGCTCGTGACAGCAATGACGACAGCAGCGACGTCATAATGTAAACAGTTTACATTGCTTGCGTAGTACCTACTAAAGATTATTCGAACGTTGAGTACTGATACCGCAGTGGATAATGAGCATATAATAATACTAGCTTTCCGCCCGCGGCTTCGCCCGCGTGGAATTTTGTCTGTCACAGAAAAACTTTATCGCGCGCGTCCCTGTTTCAAAAACCGGGATAAAAACTATCCTATGTTCTTTCCCGGGACTCAAACTATCTCTATGCCAAATTTCATCAAAATCGGTTGCGAGGTTTAAGCGGGAAAGCGTAACAGACAGACAGACAGACAGACAGACAGAGTTACTTTCGCATTTATAATATTAGTTGGGATTTTGATTACTTTGTGTGTGTGAATTTCTAATATGCTTCACTGAGTTTCGAACTCAGCGCATTGGTTGGCATCTCTCTATATCTCTATGGTATGTATAATATAGAGTATAGATAGTATAGAAAAATCGTAACAAAAAAACAACTTACCCAAAGTATTAAAAATTAAAGATCAAAGTACTAACCAGAAAACTTGATATCCTTCTTCAGCACGATCAGCGCTATGTCATGCCGGAATACCTTCTGCTCGTACCCTGGGTGACGCACCACCGACGCCACCTTGATGGCTTGGGTCGGGGGCGCGCAGAAGTATTCGTTGCAGTCGATACTCTTGGCGTAGTCCCATTCTCCGACCACCACCGTTGACCTTAGAACAGGGGTGTCCAACATAATTTCGTGGAGGGCCAGGATTTATATTTTTGTAACTATAGCGGGCCAAAAAATACCCAAAAGCGAAAGTAATAGTAAGCACTCTAGCATTAGTGAGGAGAGGAGAACCGCCGCGGGCCGGTTGAAATGCTTATGCGGGCCACATTGTGGCGTATGTTGGATGGGCCTGCCTTAAAATGATAAAAGTCATCTCATTTAATTTCTACAATAGACTTTTAATGAGCGCTTTTACTCGTCCACGTATTTCCTTTAATCATTTAACTCTACCACCACTTCGGGACTATACTTTAATGGGTCATGGGAAGAAGATAGTTTCTTTACTGTCTACTATGTTTAAAAAGTCTCTGATAGTCCGTTGGAACTTCTCTGTCAGATAGAGTTTTGGTTTCAGAGGTCTTGGATGCAAATAAAGCACCAGGTAATTTTTCTTTTCACCAACGCTTTTGCTTTAAAGTTCATCAAGTTCAAGATTATACAACATTATTTAAGTAATTAAGTAATATGTCAGGTTTCTCAACGTTTTAATATAGATCCTATATAGTTAAAATTGCAGGTTCAAAAAACATTACCTAGTTCTGTATTAAGTTAAAAACTTACACTTGATTATAGTCTTCAAATTCCGCGAGGGCGCAGTGAGCGGCCGTTAACACCACTTTCTTTGAAATAATAGAACCACTGCAGGCAAATTTCACATTTCCCGTGTCTTTGTCTAAAACAAAAATAAATTATAGCTAATAACAAAAACAGTATCACTCATCATTTCCTTGTTTTCATTCCTTACAGTCAGGGATATTTCCCGGCCTTCAATAAATAATAAATATAAAAGCATGAAATGAGCATTATACACAACACAAATTCAGTTGAAATGGCGATCCATTCAATTTGAGCTGTTTTAAGCTTTGCAAGAAAGTAGGATTAGTGCACTCTTACTTTATGGCTATTTCGTAGTTTTTCGTACATTACACTTTATCAAGAGAAGTCTTACGTTTGAAACCAATTCTAGCCACCCAAGGGTGTGCCCCAAGCCCGTTGTAGTTGATGCCCCTGACCATGCTCTGGCCACACTTCTCCGCGCCCTCCTTGTAGATCTTGTCACCCTCGCAGGACGGGCAGCAGACGTAGTCCTCACTGTTTGCATGGCCACAGGTCAGCTCGTTTAGGCGATGGAAGTACCTTTGAGAAGATCAGAAATCTTAATAAGATGTGATGTGGAAGATTCTTTAAAATAGGTTGAGTACTCATTGGTTGAATTAGGATATTTGGATTTAAGGACACCTACCTGGTGTCAGGTATAACAAAACACCCTAAAGAATCTGACCAGATGCTTATGTATGATAAATGCCACGTATGATCTATCGAACCCATCCATTATCGACCTCGTTGTAGATTGCTTAACTTTGCTCAAAATGATTCAAAAATAATTCTAGTCTGAAGTTAATAGAATCTTACCTGTCTGATGAAAAGCACGAAAAGTCGAACAGGTCCTCTAGCATAGGGCAGGAACTGATGGCCATGCAAGACGTGTAGGGCGGACATGGACCCTAAAATATACGTAAATATCATGTTTAATCAACTACGAGTACGTTGTGTATTCACGTAGTAAATTGAAATTGTTTTCAAGAAGACAACTTACTTTAATGTTTTCCGAATTTTCGTTGCTTGACCCGTCGAAATTCACGTTCAGTGTCATACCTGAAAATAAGGAAATACTTTTCGCATTCTACTTAAATTCCACTCTACCTATAGAATCTTTACATAACTTATAGGTGTAAGTAGGTACCTACGTATGGGCTTGTTCCTGACAATAATCGCACCGGAGAGGTGTGAGCTATCATATGGTGGAGAGACTTGGACGAATAAATCCAAGTGGAGAGAGCTAGCCCAAAATTTATTTTCTAGTGCTAGTGTCTTGTATTTTTATTTTTAAACTAGCGGCCGCCCGCGACTTCGTACGCGTGGATCCCGTTTTACCCCCTTTATTTATCTTACGCGGTTTAGTTTTTTTCATACAAATGTTTTTTCCCGCTAACTCCCGTTCCCGTGGGAATTTTACAATATCCTGTTGTAACTAAGCTTTAGCGCATCAGGGATGTTTGCGGATTACCAAACAGACGGGTTTAACGCCAAAATACGCAAGAAATCTGTATCCCTTATTACCAGGGTACGAGCCAGTCGCAACAGCATTCTGAGGACATCATCTTGCACTAAAGTGCTCGAAAAGACAAATCCAACGAACCCAAACTAGATGCGATTCCGCCGTTTCGTTTAGAAGTTCTGATGGCCACCTCGAGACTCCATCCAGCTCAATGGTACCATAATAATGCATTGTCATCGTACTTACATAAGTATACCAAACAGCTCAATCGGTTGTGGAGAACTGGTCTTAAATTCAATTGCAAGATTTGTCCCACACTAACTAACAAGCGAAGTGCTTGTAAAAATGGTACCTACGCATATCTTTTTTGCGACTAGTTTTCTTAGAGTTATACCATTTTGGAATCTTGGATAGTTGCGTCAACTTTATAAAAAACTTGCCGCAGAAGTGTTCATACTTTTTTTACAAAACGACGAGTCAAAGTGGAGTGAAAGTAAAAACCGTTCAAAATTAATTTTAAGGAAATATCATATTTTGATTAACTGTTGTGTAAAAACTGCATGGATTCTGGGGATTTTAAGAATTGGTGTGGACAGCATAAGTTGCCGATACAAACAAAAAAAACAGAAATATTTGAAAAATTGTGGCCGTGGTAATGTAAAATATCATAAGGGGTAAATTTTCGACGAATTTCTTTATTTATTGTGTAACTTAAAAAATAATTAAGATAGATTTTTTTTCTTATTTTTCCTAAAGTAGTCGTGACTAGGTTGTCCATCCTGCGGCGCCGGCTTATCCTTGAATTTTGGGACACGTTGTAGATGTGACCACGAAGTTTCGATTTTCAAGTAATTAATAAAATCTCGCAATAATTAGGCAAACCAATTTATGGAAACAGAACCTTATGATTATGAAATACAAAGCTTTTTATAGATCGCAAGTAAAGAAGATCCACATGAGCCCATTAATAATGTTTAAAACATGACCTTGACAACGCAATCATTATGGTTCAGCCATAATCGAGGCTACAGCATTGTGTCCCTGCAATTATTGGAACGTGATGCATTTTGCTCTCGTGTATAACGAGTCCTATATTATCTACCTGATCTAATTTATATTCCGCTGTGTCCATACATTAGGTGCGCAAGCCAAAACAATTTAAAACATTAGTCATTGAATTGAAATTATGAGTCTCATTGAAAATACTATGGAAAGTACAGAATTTTCTTGAAATTCATTACAGCATCAGCAGCGGCATCTTTGAAGAAATTATTTATTTATTTATTTATTGACAAAGATCTACCAACAACACAACTTTACATAAACAAGTAATGCATGCAAAACAAACAAATTATGACTTTATTTGTCCTGTTCTATAAATATGATTATCGAATGGTTTTTTGGAGAGGTTCCTAAGTAACCCTAAATTAATTAGATTTTAAATGAGAATGATTCCTAAAGATGTATCAAGAACTTGAGAGAAATACGCCCGTATTCACAAACGATGCTTGCTTAAGTGAAGCAGCAAATCGAACACACAGCGTTGAATAGAGCTCTGTGATTGGTTCGTGTGTCACCCTGTGCATGTACGCGCGCGCACTGTGAGACCTCACAGTAATGTTTGTAAATACGGGTGACAGAGCAGGTGCGTGTATTCTTAGAAATCTTATAACAATCGACTGATTGCGGCAAACTAAGTATACCTATTATGTAAAAACGCGGTGGATGCCCTATAAGAGTGATGTCGATATCCTCACTTTTTGCCGAGTAGGCGTAAGTGTTCGTAATTACGCAGTTTACGCACACTTTTTACTATGGAGTAGATACCTAAAAAGAAATGAAGACAACGTCCGAGAAAACTGTTAATTTGTAGATACTTAAATAATGTTAGCTTTAACTATGTCTGTAAGGACTAGGATGCGCGCCTATGATAAAATCTTATTGAGGCATCTTAGATGATAAGCTCTATTCGATAATGATAAGATGATAAGATTTATTTATGGTGCATATCCTAGACCGGCTACTTATAACTATCTTTACGAACAAAAGTGTAGTCTTAAATACCTACGAACACCTAATGATCTAAGTAGAGTGTAATTATTTAAAAGATGTTTAATTAAATGTTATTATTGTTCTTTCAAATAATAACACTCTACTTTATTTAACTAACTTAAAGCACTTACTCCCAAACTGTGCATTAACAGTCCAATCAACACACAAACACAGAAGCACAAAAACTCTAGCGCACGTCATGTTTTAGTCTTTATTCCACTGAACTTAAAGCTCACTGACATAGCACTATCATAGCCGACGGTTTAATTTTAATGATATGCTAAAAATGTGTTGGGTGTTGCGTCGGGCCGCGCAACAACAAAAATGATACGGTACAAGCGCACGATTTGACCGCTTAGGAGCAGGGGCGGTCAACATTCCGAGGTAGAGCATAAAAACCATTTTTTGCTGATGACTCTACCATCAGTCGCACGATAGAGGTAAATGAGTACCTATACTATAACTTAGTTTTCTTTTTCCTTGTTGCTAACTAAGTACTGTGTATTTTTGTATTTTATCATCATCATCATCTCAGACATAGGACGTCCACTGCTGAACATAGGCTTCCCCCGATGCAATGGGTGGACGTCCCACGCTGCGTTTTCCGGTACGCAGCCTCCACTATTTATTAGTATTTAGTAGTTTTTAATTCAGTATTTTACACTTATTAAAAACTACCGCAAATATGTATCATCTTCTTTAGTAATACTATACAAATCACAAAAATAGACTTATAACGGGAGACCACTCACAGTTTCACGGATCTGAGTGTTTGACCTATTTTAACAACTAGTTTTTGAAAGAAAGAAAGAGAAAATTATTATTTAGTACCAAGTAAAAAATGTAATATTCTCAAAAACATGTGCCACAAATTGTTGGCAACACCTGCGCCGGTGAGTCACCTGCAATCTCGATCGAAGCGGGAGTTTATTACAGATCGGCTATAATTAAGTTAATATTAGTTTAAATTAATTGTGTAGCATACAAAAAAATTGGTTGAATGGTCAAAATGATTCAAAAATAATTCACCTCAAATTGGTCACCTCAAAACCCCGTCATTCATAAACCGATTTTTATTGAAATTTATTTTTATTTGCTTAAAACTTATTACAGTAATTTTAAAATAACTATGCTTTAGATGTTGATAGTTTGTCCGAATAAATATGAAGTATGAGAATGAGAACCCAGTTGCATCAAAGTAGATTAAATGATAATTAAAACAATGAAATTGCAATTATTTAAAAATTTACTCAAAAGCTTGATTTGACGCTGTAAACTTATCTTTTCAAAGACCAAAAAACTTACCTAAACAGTGGAAAATTATTAATTTGAAGCACTCTACATTAACTACTTAGGTATCTGTATAATCTAGGACCCTATGTATGTATTCAAATTAATAAACGGTTCTACTGTAATAAAATGTATCATATTAAATACCTTTAAATAAGGTGCAGTAAATGACTGCTCTTAATTATAGGAATAGAAAAACATGGTAAGTCGTAGTAGTTGGCGCACCGGGCTACAGTGGAAGTTGCCGGTAAAAATTATCTTGTTAAAGTCAAAAATAGCGTACGTGGTCAATTTCAAAGTAACCCGTACATCGGTTGATCTAAATAGGTTTTTTCACACGAATCCTTTGTTAAGTTTTTGCGGTATCTGATGTCATTCACACCAAGAGGGGGCAAAAGAGCACCTCTACAGAATGATGCCCCTTGAATATTCCAAATGAATGATGAATTTTGTTACAGGTAGGTAATTGGCTTTAATTAATGTCATTCTAAGTCCTCAATTAACTACAATAGATCAATTCTTTCCTCCAACCAGGTAAAGGGCGTCCATCCAAACGACCATATAATTACAATTTGAAACTGTGATAATAGTGGTCGACTGACGAAATTCCGCACTGTGCAGTCACAGTGTAATTATGAACTGCAGGGCCATATTAACATTTAATGGATTTTGCGTTAATCGGAATCACTCACGTTCTTTGATAGGCATACGAATACTATAGCTTTAGCGCATTTACTTCAAATTGAACATTTTGTTTTGTCAGACACTCATTCTATACATAGAATTATATTGGTCACCATTACAATGGTGACTGAGCTTCTTCTGCCACATCCTTCTCAGGACCTGCAGCTCTTGTTGACCCTAAGTGCTATATTTGAGCATGTATAAGTGCCCTGGAGAGGGCCTAAGTACTGAATTTTTATTTTATTTTATAAAATACTATCTGCGCCTACTGGTTCCATATATGCTGTGGCATAATCGAGTTCCAACACTCTATTATCAGATTAGGAAGCAATATTTTGTGGGAAACAATGGCCGTCACGGTGACCGCAGGTCGACAGCCTGTGGCCTGGAATTGTTATAATTCACTAATTGCGAGCCATGGCTTTGTAATTTTCGGGAAGTGTCGAAATTAATTTCGCTATTAATCCATGCCCCACTGCGGATATGCTTTCTGCATTATATTCTGAGCTAGTTGATGGTTAGTCGTTAGAGCCTATGATAGATACACTACTGTTCGTCTAGGGCAGTGTTTTTCAACCTGTGGGTCGCAACCCCCTGGGGGGTCGCAAAGTCTCTTTAGGGGGATCGCGAGAGCTCGTAAAACTACCTCAGTAAAAAATTAGAGAAGTTTTAAAGCTACATTTGAATCTACATCCGAAATCTAATTATGCAAATGCATAAATGTTGTATAGATTAAAGAATTCGGTCCCTACAACATCTTTGTAAAAGGCATGAAAAAAAGCGAACGGTCGGGGGGTCGCAAAAAAATTTTTCGTACTAGGGGGGTCGCGTCATGAAAAAGGTTGAAAAACACTGGTCTAGGGTATGACATCATGAAAGGAAGAGCTTTGAAATAGGAAAAATTTGAGAGCATAATAATGGAGACAAAATATTGTAAACAACCTTTTCACATACTTTCTATGGAAAACCTTGACAGTAGACAACCTGAAAGAATGTCAAAAGAAACAAAACCAACGTCATTTCAAACCATTGTCATTCATTTCAACCTAACCATGGCAAAGTAAACACAAAATCTTTAGCAAATTCGATCACCAAACCAATATTCTTGTGAACAAAACCCCCAATCAAAGTTATGATGAAGCCTGTATATTTGGAAACGCTGACAGCGATCAAACTCCCATGATGAACCGGCCCGAAGACCAGAACTGGATGGACAATCTTGAGGGCATGTGTATACCCGAGGGTACGTTGAAGTTGGCCAGCAGTGCCTCGGAGCAGAACGTGTATTTCACCTACGTCTGCTTGGTCAACGATCTGAACCCAAACAACCTATCGAATCACCGACCCTCGTACCGGTACATTGACGGAGATCTTGAAGAAGTGAGTATACTACGAGAGATTTTAACAGAATTTCTTTGGATAATAATATTCATTCAACTGTCTTCAACAGTGTGTTAAACTTTTCTTAAAAAATCTACGTACCTACAATATTTTGTTAATTTCTGAAATCTAAAACATAGGTTGATCAAGAAGATGTGCCTATCAGAGTGGAACGTTCAAAAGCTCTTCATGAGTTGGTCGAAAGCCACCGTAATGATTACGAAATAGAAGAAAAGAAATACACTGGTGCTCAGTCATCTACTGCTCATGTAAGTAAACTATGTATTTCAGAAATTGTGGACCAAGAAAAGTTAAAGAATTCAAACCTGACTTTAGCCAATCATTAAATTTCAATTCCCCATTTTCAGCAAACCACAACATCATTTGAAAGTGACACATCAGAAAATGAAGACACAATCAATTTCAACACTGCCAACCCAAACGTTCTTAAATTAACCAAAATGAAATGGCTGACTGAAGAGCAAGAAGGATCTCCAGATTCCAGGTGAGTTAATATTCAAAATGGTAGGTTGTGTACGATTTCCTAGTCACAGTGCGTGATGTCGTTGCAGAAATGTAAACGCACTAACTGGTGCAAATGTAGGAGGTAAGAGAAGACGGCATAAATTGAGATGGACGTAGATTGAAGGTAACTCTAGTTTTGGTAATTTAAGCTTTTTTCTAAAATGTATAAAATCGACCCTATAAAAGGGTAATCCTTATAAAAATTATAATGGACGTTTCATCTAAGTCCTACATTGTTTCAGTTCACCATCGATCTCCCCCAACATGTCTTCCACAAGCACCTGCAGCCGGGAGTCTGATGACCACCTCTCCCATACCAGCGTTGGAGACAAGTACCTTTCCACCATCCTCCGCCTTGATAGAGAGCATAACATGTTTGGCCTGTCGAACATCGCAATCGTGGGGTCCAGACCTTCGAGGAAGATGAAGAAAGAGGATGACAAGCCAGTGTTCCCTCAGACCGCGATCGTTCAAGTCTGCTGTGGTACTGGTTGCTGCAGACATAGGGTAAGAATAATCCATGCGCCATTGGTGGCCCTAATATTGACCTTTTTCTTTGTTACGAGTACGAGTGATAGATGAAAGACTGATCCTCCGTAAGACTCTATTCTTACAATGTAACTTATCTGTTTCTTTTTCAGAGCAAAACAGATCTGCCCTCATCTCTCAAGGTCAGTATTTGCTACATTGCCCACATTAGAAGGTGTTATCCTTTCATCATTTCCTTATTATTTGGATTATCAACAAAATCATCAATCGTATTTTCATATTTCAGTGCGGAGGATGCAAAAGCTGCTGCGTTGATCCCTTTTGTCCAACTTGCATTGGGCCATGTGATCCACCCTGCGTTAGTAACTCTTCATTTCATAATATTTGACTTCTTCTTATTCTTTTTCTGCATTTTTTTTATACACTACGAGGAAGCTCTTGGCCTGTATCTCACCTGATGGTAAGTGATGATCAGGCCGAAGGTGGAAGCATTTTAACAAATACACTGTCTTTATTTTTCCAGAGTGATCCATCACCATGCCCACCAATGGTAAGTTGAAAACATTATAGGTAGTTTAGTAGTTAGTTTGTGAAACCATATAATCCATTTCACGTACGTAATGGAATTCATTTACAGTTCAACTACCTATACCTACCATAGGTACAGTTTCGTGCTTTATTTCTTTTTTCGCCAACATTATAGCGTCACTATAAAAACTATAAATAAAATGAATAAACCATTGTTTTGCAGTGCTCATCCTGCCCAAGAGGAAATTGTACCTGTAAGGTAATAAAAGCATAACAATTCGTTAATTGTTATTTTAATGACCAAAATTAATAGTAGACAGGCTAGATCATAAATTTACAAAAGCATTCAAAGGAAATAATATATTTCAGATACCTTGTCCACCTTCGAAGTGTTTCGTGGACTGCACTACGTGCTACGGCATGAAGGTAACGAAAGATAAAGTTTTATCTAGCTCTACATTGTCAGGAATTTCTATGTTAACTACGGATCTTTCTTTTCACTATCTTTTGCAGGTAACGGTACATCGAAAACCCAAGTTCGATCCCGTCCAAGTGGAACTCACTCCACGATCTAGCTGCGTACTTCATAAGGTTCGTTTTTAATCAAATGATCGAACTAGACTCTTACTTGGTAGAGTTTGTTGGTACTACCAGTAATAATAGCATCTAGGTATGATCATAATGTTTACTATTTTTAATGCATCCACGAATCACCATAGCAAGCAGCGGTCATTTGAGACTGTATTATTTTCTTTTGAAATAGCGAGCAGTTGGCACCATAGATTAGGCGAGTAAAAATAATTTATTTGTCTCTCACTACTGGCTATGATAATGGCGCCAGCTAGTGATCGCAAATAAGTCAGCTTAGGTCACTGCCTGTAAAAGGCTTGGGGAATACGCTTGCCTGCATTATGTCCAGATTGTTCTAATCATTTCTACGTTTGTCCCAGCCGTTCGCAGCGCGCTCATGCCACCACCTACCCCGCTGCATCCCACCCTCCTCCTGCTTCCCGTACCTCATGCCGTGCTTCTGGCCCGCGAGACCCAGCGCTCCCTGCAGCGTGCCAGCTCGGTGCTTCCACAACCCGCCCTGCTTGGCTCCGAGGAAGAAAAGACCGCCTGGACAGAATATGCCGACGACTTGCCCTCCTGTGAGTGTCAAATCAAATCAAAATCTCTTTATTTGCATAATATCAGGTAACATGAGTGGTGATAAGTGGTTTGGTAGGTTTCACTGATATTTGCTTGAAATAGGAAGCGTGCAAATATTAAATATGTCAGACTAGGTTTTTCATTAACAGATCGTTTAGTTACTCTCCAATTTTGGGAGGATTTGGCTTACACTACCTACTGTGAAAAATATTAATACTTCCATAAAAACTAACATTCTAACTAATTATAGCTTGACAAATTACGTATCGAAGAACCATTCATTATCTTATTACCTACTATAAAATCTATGTATGAAACAGCTACCGTAGTTACCAATCTGATAAAGACGCTACTAATTGAAAAGTTTTTGTAGCCTAAAAAAGTTTTAGTCCAGTCATTTAAGCTTAAATTAGGTAAGAATCTCGGAATTAGAGATACCCAGCTGTAAGTCTGTAAATACTTGTATATTGACACCCTAAAAGTTGTCTCAAAACCTACATATGGTAGGGTGTAAGCAACTATTAAATTTTAAGGTCAAAGGTCACAAAAATCGGTTTTTTGCGCTTTTTTTGGAAATATCTCATTTCCTATGGGTTTTTTGCTATTTGTATTTATTATCAATATTGTAGAATACTAAATTCTCTACAAATTTTGTTTAAAAAATTTTTTTATACGGTGAACCGTTTTCGAGATAGAGGGCGGAGAGCGCGCGGTCACTGCATCACTTCAGGTCAACTTAAGCGGTTTAGGTTTTTCATACAAAAGGATTTTCCCGCTAATTCCCGTGGGAATTTCGGTAATTACTTGTTGTAAATAAGCTTTAAGTTTACTAAGGTACCTACATGCCAAATTTCAAGCGTCTAACTTCCGTTAAGCGTTTAGATTTTTCATACAAAAGGATTTTCCCGCTAATTCCTGTTCCCGTGGGAATTCCTAAGTAAACTATAACCTGCCCAGGTGTATGAAGAATAATTGTACCAAGTTTCGTTAAAATCCGTCGAGTAGTTTTTGTTTCTATAAGGAACATACAGACGGACAGACAGACAGACAAAAATTTTACTGATTGCATTTTTGGCATCAGTATCGATCACTAATCACCCCCTGATAGTTATTTTGAAAATATATTTCATGTATAGAATTCTGTCCGTCTGTATGTTCCTTATAGAAACAAAAACTACTCGACGGATTTTAACGAAACTTGGTACAATTATTCTTCATACACCTGGGCAGGTTATAGTATACTTAGGAATTCCCACGGGAACAGGAATTAGCGGGAAAATCCTTTTGTATGAAAAATCTAAACGCTTAACGGAAGTTAGACGCTTGAAATTTGGCATGTAGGTACCTTAGTAAACTCAAAGCTTAGTTACAACAAGGAATTCCCGAAATTCCCACAGGAATTAGCGGGAAAATCCTTTTGTATGAAAAATCTAAACCGCTTAAGTAGACCTGAAGTGATGCAGTGACCGCGCGCTCTCCGCCCTCTATCTCGAAAACGGTTCACCGTATAAAAAAAGTTTTTAAACAAAATTTGTAGAGAATTTAGTATTCTACAATATTGATAATAAATACAAATAGCAAAAAACCCACAGGAAATGAGATATTTCTAAAAAAAGCGCAAAAAACCGATTTTTGTGACCGTTGACCTTGAAATTTAATAGTTGCTTACACCCTACCATATGTAGGTTTTGAGACAACTTTTAGGGTGTCAATATACACGTATTTACAGACTTACAGCTGGGTATCTCGAATTCCGAGGTGAACTTACTATAATGACTGGACTATTTGCTAGTAACTTTGCTAGGCCATTGACACGTTACTCTCGCGCGAAGCGTTGAGATGTAACACGATCAGGTACTTAAATGTAACACAAGTTACAGAAGCTACTTACCTACATTACAAACAAGTCTAGAAACATTATTCACTCGTGAAAAATATTAAATGGATCACATCTCCTTTGCAAATTTTCATTTTGTCAGACAATGTTGAAGAATTTGCGTTTAGTTAACTTAATAATTATTCTTCAATTTTCAGGGAAAATGTGAGGATGCAGCCAAAGGCACCAAGTGCCCTAACCAGTTATGCCCTGGGGTAAATATTATTTTTTATTAGTATTGTTGCAATTTTTTACTCCAGTTACACCTACACCTAAAATAATTGTGTAAAAATTACAGAAAAGTCCCCAATTCAAGCAAGGCCTAGAAAGCAAATTCGGGAAGTAAAATGAGATGGTGAATTCTGAAGAAAATATTCAAGAAGCCGTATATTCTGGAAAAGTAAGTCGTTATTGATATTCGATCTCTCCCTATTTCTATTAATATCTTAAAATACATCTTACCTTTTGTACAAACTAGATCCAATAATATTGTTGTCGCAGTGTGATAAATCGTCGCAAAGTGGATTTCTCGGTGAAGAAAAAAAGAAGAAAAAGAAACATGTTAGTACAAATTTCATAAATAGTAAATGAATTTATCTAATGTAAGAAGCATTGAAATCGCAAATAAAAGCATAACTTACTTTCCTTCTGGCCTTAAATTCCCTATTAACTTGTATCTAGCAACAAACTTCTTAGCATAGTATTTGCCTTTTGGTGCGACCTACACATTAGACAATTCTTTTCAAAATTACGCTCATGTGATGTACCACTCAGTGATATTTATTATTTTACAGAAAAATTCAGTACAATGCGAATGCGCTCTTCCTGGCTGCGCCAGCTGCTTCGTCGTGAGGCCTCAGGTATCGTCATAGTCATCTGGGGGCATAAAGACAAGTTAGATTTCAAATAAAAACAAAAGATTTCGAAGTAAAATAAGCATTTTAGTTAAAATTAAAATTGTCTCTACCTGTAGCGGAGAATAATGTTGTGGCAGGCCTTTGTTCAAACGATCAAAGCAAATGTTGTGATAGGGATTGAGACATGCGATTTTTGGTTTTACAAAGATAATACGATAGAGAATAATACAAAGTAATAAAAACTACCTGTTATAGGGCCATTTTTTTGAGAAATTTATCAAATTACCAAAAAAATACGAATTTTTAAGCAGATTTTTTTCAAAAAGTCCCTTTTTTTATTATTTGTTGGCATTTTCTGGGTAGTTTATGTATTTTTTCAGTATCGCCTGTTATTTAGCATTATTACTGTTTTTATTTTATCAGGATATACCGCTTAGTTTAAAAGTTATTACGTTTTCTTTATAATAAGTAATTGGAAGAAAAAAAATTCGATAAAAAATTAAAAAAAAAATGTCAAACAAATTTTGACCTCTTTTTTGTCGATAAAAATAGGTCTAGTTTCATCTATTTTCATATACACTTTAACGTGACTCACACTGTATAAATAAACGATTAATAAACGCACTGTAACCAATACTTAGGTACTTATGTGATCATGAATTTTAAAATATTCCAATAGCGTTTTAATAAAAATAAAAAAAACTCGTAACACAGAATCTTCGGAGCCTAGCACGAGCACCATCTCTCCACAACTTCGTGATATTGTCTTACAGGGTGGCCCAGAAGAAAATTCACTTTTTAAAATTCAAGGAAACGAAAACTGTACATTTTTGTAGAACTTTAGCTATTGCAATTTAAAGGAAATTTAGTGCAATTTATTTTAAAATTTACTATCTTTTATAAATTTTATCGTACATGTGATTCCCTTGACGTTTACAACATTCGGTCAACATACATCAAAATTTTGGAAAACTTTTTACTCGGTGCGTATGAACAGTGTAGCGGCGCGGCGATGGCGCGGCGGCGCGTTGGCGGCGTCGTCTGCAGGAGCCCTTAGAGTTTCCTTAAAATGGATTCAGGATGGATGAATGCTGCAGAGTTTTTGGATTATTAGAGTATACTCTGCTCATAAGGTAATCCCACAAAAAGAAGTCTGCTGGAATGAGATTAGCGCTTCTTAGAGGCAGTGAGATTACACCACTGCTTAATTGGTTGGTTGCATTGAAATCATGATTAATTTTTGAGAGCGCTATACTGGTAGGCTGAAAAGCTTTTTGATTTCAAAGCTGCAAGATTCGCAAGGTTATGACCGGAGCACTTGGTTTCATCAGGATGGCTACGTGTCACACTTCAACTGAGAGCATATGATAAGAGACATATTCCCACAAAAAATAATTTCTGGCAGGGGTGACATCTCCTGGCCACCAGGAAGCCCTGATCTCACTCCAGAAAATTATTTTTTGTGGTGTTACATTAAGAATAGAGTATACTTTTATAATCCAACAATCATGCAGCAACTGAACTGAACTGAGCATTCGGCAAAAAATTGAAAATAGGTTTCGAGGTAATTCTGACGAACGCATTCCAAGATTTTGATGTATGTTGATCGAATGTTGTAAGCGTCAAGGAAATCTCCTGGGCAATGTTATTTAATAAAGGTAAATTTAAAAACAAATTGCATTAAATTTTCTTTAAATTGCAATAGTTAAAGTTCTATAAAAATGTACAGTTTTCGTTTCCTTGAGTTTTCAAAAGTGAATATTCTTCTGGGCCACCCTGTATTAAACCAAGTCTTGGTCTTTCTATTTGCCTTTAAGTAGTTCTTAGCTAATTATACCGGATATAGCACTTCGCATGGCTCTGTGTCCACCGGTGACAAATTGTTCAGGTGAGAGAAGTTTTTCTTGCTTAAAACGGGTTAAAAACTATCTACGATTTACTTTAAGTCAAGAAAAGCTTAATGCTTTAAGTCAGAACTTATGAAAAAGATTTCTTACGATTCTTATAATTAATGATTTTGCAAATTTAAAATCTCGCAAGAAAATAATGTAAAACTTATTTGATCTCATTGTCTGTCACCATTAACTGGATTGTTAACATGTTATATTTTAATAGAAATTGTTTGTATTGTTTTTAAACTGTTAAGTGCAATAAAAAATATTTAACAAAAACAATGTTTACTGACCACACATTATTTTGTCTGTGTTCATATAGTGTAGGTATTTTTAAGTCATGCCTTTCTCCACCTTATGATTAGTACCTACATGCTGCTGTTTTTAGGTCAATATTAAACTCTTCAGTACATAGCGGGTTGCAATTATAATCTAGTAACTGACAGAAATATCATTAAGTTCACAATCATACTAAAAACGGGATTAAACTAACGTATTGAATTTCAAAAGTCAGTACTTAGGGGCGGCAAAAATTGAATGGCCTACTAGCGGCAAATTTGTAAATCCGCCACTGCCAATCGCTGGGTGATCAAAGTGGAATAGACGTTTACAAACGATTGCGGCTCTTGAGATACATTATTGGAAAGCAACGTAGGAGACCAATCGACAGATTGGTTTCTTAGATTAAGATTTGAAGATTGCTAAAATCTTTGGTTTGAAGATCGATAATGGAAATTGGGCGTTAGAAGAGATCGCTTATCGCTAGTTATAATCCAGCCTACATTTGTTTTCAGAGCTCAAGGATGAAAGACGACTAGGGCTCAAGGAACTGGTGGTACGCAACATGGACAGCGTGATGCAGGAGGATATGTGGCCGCGGGTAATGCGCGAAGTTCGGAAGGTACCTATTTATTCATTTACCTTGGTTTTAGAATATTTTGAACCATCAAGTAACATAATAAATTGGGTGTGTAAAAGAGCGCTAGTCTATAAAGTTTTTTTAGTGCCTGAAAATTCACCTATGTAGATTTTTTAAATACCAAAATTAAAACCTAAATCTCCTTTCAGATTTCAAAGTATTTGCCGTACCTGAGCACGCCAACAATTACAAGTAAATAGCTATGATAAAAATTTATAGACATGATATTTGAATAAAACAAACAACCCTGATCTATGATTTTTATTGAAAACTTTAAAATACTTATTCACAAACATATAAAAAAATGCCGATTTTGGGTCATCAAGAAAACAAATGAGGGTCGGAAAGTAAGAAAATCATCGATGCTCACTTGTTTGCCTTAATATAATGTTGGAATGAGGGTTTTCGCGAATTAAAAATCCACCAGATGGCAATACGTAGACGCGAGGTCCAAATGCTATAGTTCCAAAATATAGTTCCAAAATACTGGACTGTCCTGTCGATGACATTGACAGTGGGGCGCCACCGTCAATACCGGATCGCTGGTTCCGATTTTTGCCATGTTGGAAACCATAAAGTTGAACGATGGAAGCGCCCCCCTGTCATTGAGTTTGGCGGGACAGTTCAGCGTGGGTCATCTATACTGAACTGTCCTATCGATGACATTGACAGCGGGACGCCACCGTCAATACCGAATCGCTGGTTCCGATTTTTGCCATGTTGGAAACCATAAAATTGAACGATGGTAGCGCCCCCCTGTCATTGAGTTTGGCGGGACAGTTCAGCGTGGGTCATCTATACATGATTGGTTATTTTTGACATGACATTGACAGATATGTCAAAATCCACCAATTACGCAGCAGTCAGACCCCACATCCACGTCCCGCCATCTAGCGGATCTTTCATTCGCGAAAACCCTCATTTCAATCTTATCATAGGATTTCAGACACTGCTCTTCTTTCTAAGGATCATAATCCCTTGAAACGATCATCCTCTTCATACACTTTTTATGCACAGGCAACTTGTGTTGGAGCTGGTCTATGACAGTATACGGTGGGGTTCCTTGAGCAATGTGGCAGTAATCGCTGCAGTACATAAACGGCGCGATATTGGTCTGGTAGGGGTTTGGTGGGAAGGGGGCTAGGTCGAAATTCTCTCCATGGCCCCAGGATGCGAGAGATGAATACGCGAATGGTATCTTGTATTTCTTCTTCATCTCTGATTCGAAGACGCTGTAAAAAAGAAAACTTATTGCTGAAGCTGTGGTTGTGTGGTGTGGCAAATTGGAATAAGAAGAAAAATACGACAGCGATGCTGCGACGCACGATGTTAGCGCTCCGTTGACAGTATTTTATAGCAAAGTTGCAAGCAAGAGTACACCAAGCGTAAAATGACGAATACGCGTGTATGAAGCGACTCTACGTTGCACTACGAAGCACATTCAAAACAAAATACAAGTAAACCACCACCTCATTTGAAGTCGGTACCTATTTTTAAAAGTTATCTACAAACCCCTTGATATTATTGACAGGGTTGTGGCACGCAGCCACTTCCTTGTACTCCTTCTTGACGTGGATCCTGTCGTAGACACCCCTGTGGACCTTGGACGTTAGTGGCATCCAGATCTCTTGATGGCGCGGTCCGAAGCCTCTCACCTGAAATAAACGATGACTGCTAGAACTCTTATTCAGAACACCAACAGAAACAATACAGTGTATTAAGCATAAGCATTATTGATGCATGATCAGGCGAATGAGCGGCTCATTTGGCCGAGCCGCTTAAGTGAAGACGCCTGACCAAGCGTGCTAAGGATTTAAGGCAACGTTTTTATTTAGCTATTTACAGGTATTCACATACATAGGTAATAACTTAGATAGATTACACACAGTACAATAGGTACAGTACCTTGGGCAAATTGAAAGCCGAGTAAAATGTGATCTGATCCTTAGCGCCGATGCCATATTGATCCTCCACTGAGAACGGTTTATGGCACGCCCTATATGTGGTGACGTAAGGGTCCAACAGTCTTCGGAATCCACCAGCGCTGTCAGATATTACAGGAGCTTCATTCCGACCAGCTGCTACGACCTTTGAATCAGAAAATGGTTTCTTTGCTAAGCTTTTCAAAGGTGGGCAAGATTCTACTACTCTACTCTCAATCAAAGAAATTGTTAAAGGCTCTTTGTCTCAAACTAAGTAACTTAATACTTGGATCACAAAATCAATTTGGTAAAACTGACTCTGATGGCTTGACGACGGACGTGTGATGATGACGATTACGAAGCTAGTACTATAATCGTTGTATTATATGACGTATCAATACATACATCAAAAATATACTCAGGATCAGGAGCCCTGACGGTGATCTCAGGCGGCATTGTTGCTTGCTCCATCACGCCTCTGAAATTATCCTTCATCTCCGATATCATTGTAGGTTGGACGATGCTTTTTCCTTGCAACTATAAAAAATACAGGCATTAGCTGATGTTCCAAAATCTATTGGATAATGGCTTTTTCCTTCGGCTACTTATGTCACCGTAAACTTGTGGATTTCGTCAGATTACCTAGTTAGATTACACTGTTAGTTTACAATCTCACGTGTTATATTATAAACTGACGGAGTTCACAATTTCACGTTGACAGCTATACCTACACTGTTTACTTGATATTAAAGTCAAAGCAGAAGCATATAAAAATTTCAAACGGTTACACTGGTTTCCCAAGATACAAGCATAGCCTAGTTTGGGAGCCTCCTGCAGCATTCTTCCAACACACAAACGCTAAAAAATTTACTTAAATTTTAGCTACAGCTTAGGATTCCTAGAACATGCAAGAACTTACCCGCTTCTCCACTCCCGTCATGAAGATGACCCGCCTGCAGTTGATGGAGCAGTCGGCCCTCTCCATGGCCTTGTTAGGGTTTGGTTTGACGCAGTATTCGCCGGTGGTCGTCTTGTAGGTCTCTTTCTCGACCACCATATCGCGGCCGCATACTCGTTCGGGGAGCGGATCATCGATTTTCTAGAAAATAGTTACTTTTCACAAAGAATATGGCCTGTGACAACTGGGATTCATCTTGTTTTAAACAAAGTATTTACTGTATAAATAAAGACATGAGTTTAATTGGTCGGTAATTAAGAGAGTCTTGATAGTTAATTGGAGAACGCTGCCAGAGAGAAGCTTACCTGTGTCCTGTGTTGGTTGATCCTAGAAGACGAAAAGTAGAAAATAGGCCTTAGCACGTACAACACATTAATCTTTCACGTCAGCGCTTCTCTTGCGAAGACCAATGGCGACTTGTGGCTAGTCTTTGCTCCAAAACAGTACTTATGTGCTTGATGCAAACTTGTCCAAATGTAAGGAGATTTGAAACTACTTACGCAGTCCAAGCTATGCGGTATAGCTGGTATGTGGCGATGAGCGATGCTGGCTGCCGTCCTGGTCTCATTGTTGGACAACCGCAAGGGTATGTTGTACTGGACATTGCCCCACGTGTTCACATTTTGTATCAACAGCTCGTTTAGCACCAGAGGTTTGGCACAGCCTTTAGGTTGAGACATGATTAAATAAATTAATGAAAATTATCTAAAAATAAGAAAATTCTAAAGCCAAAAGTTTATACTATCGAAATTGAAAAGTCATAGTAGGTAAACGTCAATGATAAACGTGTCATTTGCACGTCATCTTTTTTTTAAAGTATTGACGGTTTTTGGAAGTTATCAGTCTATATGTAAATAGGTTTTACATAAATGCATATTAATTTCATAGCATGAAATTGTTAATTTTGTTGTTTTAGTTAAGTTACGAATTAAATTATTAATGTAACACCTACTTATGCAATAAAAAAATCTTTCCTTCTGGTCATTAGTAGACCCATATGAACGACACAAATGAATCTTATATTTTTAGAGATCATTATGGTGGGTTTTCTCCTGTAAAGTGAACGCTGTCGTGGGAATCCTGACTCGTATAAATATGATTAGGTACTTGTGTTCATAGTTTTATCACACCAAATAACACAAAAATATTAGTAGAATTCAAATAAAACACATTGCATAAGTAATTTCTGACAATCTTTACTATTCAATTAAAGTATCCTCTGTAACATTTTAATCAGACTTTTCTTCTTTTTTACGAACGCGGGATGGGAACCCAGGTCATGGGTGCATTCGTTTTTATGTGCCTGTTGGAGGTACATCGGGAGTAGAACATCGTTGTCTGATATCCACTCCATGACGTAGTCGGTGATGGCTGACACATGTGGCGACTGTTCGAACTTGGAGCGAATCCTCAGTTTTGTGTTGAATCTGTAGGACTGAAATGTTTAAGTTACAACCCGGTCGAGTTAAGTTTAACTGCGCACCTGGTAGCCATGACGTCACGTCGACGCTCGGGTACAGGTGTGTGCGTAAGTGAGAGGGAGAATGGCATTCCAGCGAGATGCGCAGTTAGCTCGATCGAGTTGTATAGCAAAGTTGCTTGATGAACAAAAACTAGCTAAGTATTTACAATTTGAAAGAGCAAATTTTCGCAAAGATTACAGAAAATAATAAGAGATATTTTAGTTTGCATCTAGGTAAGTACTTACTGGGTTATACAAATTTTGTGCGATGGACCTTAGAGCATCGTTTAAGGTGTTCCCATTTTTTTGACCCTGAAGAAAATAGTAAACGTAAGTAAAATTTCTGATCCTATGGTGTAGCGGTGGCGTCCTGGAATGGAGTGGGTCTTGGGGCGGTTTAGGTACTAGCTGAATAACTTTTGAAAGGGATATCATTTTTCACACACAAAGACATTGTTCCTTAAAGGTTAATAGTTGAGCAGTTTCAGTTAATAATAAAATACCTTTGGTAACAACTCTTTAGCCATTGCAAAGAGTTCATCAGCTCGTTCGAGATACAAATACAACGCCCAGTTCGAACGGAAGAACGAATAGAAGTCGTCGAGTTTTTTTGCCTGAAACGTTTTATTCAAAATTATAAATAAACCTTGTCAGCTTTGCAGGAAATCGAAAGTAACAAACCACATTTTAAAATCAGACTGTTGTAAAGACAGAGAATTACAGGAGTAATTCAAGAGCTTGGCCTTTATTGGTTGAGTTTTTTGGAGGTTAAACTTTAGATCCCGGCCACGCAAGAGTTACAGCGATGCTAAAACATTGGTCCTCTCTCCCCAAAACGCATGGTCATCGTGAGAAATCACCAATCCTCACCTTTGTTTTTGAAAAAAGGAGATATTATGCTTGTGTTCTTGCTGTAGAGACTAAATGGGACCTGATGATAATGGTTATGATGTGCGTTAATACAAACTCAATATTCTTAATAATAATGTTACTAACAGTGTATCTCAAATGCACGTTATTCAACACAGTTGCGGACAGTCCATAGAGGTTTTTGAAGTTGTCCAGCGAGAGGCTCTCTGGACTGAGGCAGGTGATGCCGTCGACCACTTGATCGTTGTTCAGGTGCAGCTTAAAGTAGCCGCCTTTGAACGTCTCTAGTACATAACCCTTAAAATAGGAATATCAGTAAGCCATCGTAGTATGAGTAGCTAAGTCTGCTTGCTCTCAACATTGACAGAAACAAAAATATTGTCTTGAACAAAAATCTTAGGCTAGAGCACTAGCAAACTTGTTACCTTGTATACTAATAATATTGATTCACAATTAATTGTTGGCGCCACTAAAGAGTAAGATCCTATGCATATCTAATTGTCGTGTTTCTTTCAGCGCGGTTGACGCGCGTCTCACAATCACATGAAAGTTGCGTTGCTAAACCGCAAAAGGCAGATTACTTTTACAAAATTTGCGATAACTATTGCATATTAATGCGCTGTTGCAGGTCTTCGGTCAAGAAACCTGGTGTACATGTCCTAACCTAATCACTTAACGAGTGACAGGACCTGGGCGCCCAACTGGTGACCGAAAAATGTATGCTCACTAGCTTTCCTCCCGCGGCTTCGCCTGCGTGGAATTTTGTCTGTCACAGAAAAACGTTATCGCGCGCGTCCCTGTTTCAAAAACCGGGATAAAAACTATCCTATGTCCTTTCCCGGGACTCAAACTATCTCTATGTCAAATTTCATCAAAATCGGTTCTGTGGTTTAGGCGTGAAAGCAAGACAGAAAGACAGACAGACTAACAGACAGAGTTACTTTCACATTTATAATTATTAGTATAGATTAAGTACCTCATATTATTAGCTTTTCTTTTGAAAGCACGAAAAGTATTATTACTCACGGTAAACTGTTGCGACTGCACATAATAATGGGGAGTCATCTTCCCTGGAGGTCGGACTTCCAAGTACTGAAGACGTCCAGGCAACGTGCAATGGGTCACGATGGGCTTCTTCAGAGTTGGGATCTTCTCGAGGTGTTTGTCACCACTCCCATCGGATGCGTTTCTACAAAAAAGTTCTAGTAGACAATGGGTGTCACAATCCGTTGCTAGACTTTATGAAACCTAATCAATTAACGGCTGAACGTAGGTAATATCAAGGAAAGACATTAGTAGACCAAAGGAATACAGCTGTCTTTGTTTCAGGCGCCATATTAGTCTGCTCCCTTGATGCATAATCTTCTTTTTCTGTGGGTAGGCATCTATCATTGGGTACATACCTATTTGTGTTCTAAATTCAAATACAAAGCTAATAAAATATGGGAAGCCTCTGAAGATCTGACTGTATGTCACGTAACGACTGTAAGCAGTTTTGTAGTAGAGTTGTATTTTAATGGAAGAGATTATTTATAATGATGACGATTATGTACGTACGAGTCGCTAGGTTGTGTTGATGATGATGTCTGCGATTGTAGCGATACAGGCTCCGACATGATGGTACTCGTTGAGACTGTCACGGAGGACTTTCGAGAAGGTTCTTTTGGTGAAAATAGAGGATCCAACTGGTTCCTTATTTGGGTTCCAAGCTAGAATAAAATAAACCTTTTGATTATCAATTTAAGGTCCACTTTTTAAATCTACTTATATTTCCTCCTAGAGCATTTTTCATATCACAAACGTAAACCAACCTTCTGTCCCACTTCATAAGAGTCATAATACTTGAGCCGGCGAGAGTCGGCGAAGTATCTCCGGTAGTACCTGGTGGCTGGTCCCGCCGCGTATATGCACGGGTCTTTAGTTCGGAACTCGTGGTCGATTAGTATACCGCCATCGTACACCAGGCCGCTTTTCTTTATGGCTAATAAATTAAAAAAATTACGATGAGTATAACCGCCTCTGTGGTCTAGTGGTGGACCCAGAGGTGCCGGGTTCGATTCCTAGTAGGGGCAAAATTGTCTGAGTTCGGTTGGTGCTAGGGCTTGGCCTGGCGAGTTACCATCGTCCTACCTAAACCTGTCGCCAAAACAACAATGATAACAGCATTGTGGTTTTCCAGCAGTTGGAGATAAGATTGCCACTTCCTCTGTGGTTGAGGAGTCTTGGTGAAGCGAGCTTCCACCTTCAGCCTGGTTATCACTTTTCTCTTCACACACATGAAATATCTTTCGATGCCCTACATACTTATGACGTCAATAGCTCAAATACGATTCGGTATCCAAGGAACGCTAGTTCGATCCCCATAAACTGTTGTAGTGAAAACACTCCTAACAACTCCTTTAAATAAATAAATAAACACAAGTAAATATACGTACCATTCAAAGCTTGTGTGCTAACACCAGTCTTTCCATAGTAGAAGAACACGGTACACTCCAGCTTGACCATCTGGAAGTGCGATAAGAAATCCACATGGGTCACCATATTGTACCCATCTACGGTCCAGGACTGGAAGTAGTATGAACGGTACACCGTGATGTTCAGATTGTTCAGCACTTCTTTCACTGATTCGTCCACCTGGAAGACATTACATGAGCTGATGATTATTTATTTGTTAAAGGTGTAGTAGTTTAGTGACTCCGGCAGAGTAGAATAGGATCACTCCCACTCTTCTAAGGAAGAAATATGCGATCATAAGTAGCAGGAAGGCGCTGGGACGCAGGCCGCTACCAATCGATCGACATGGAAATCATTGGGAAACTATGGCTGAAATGATGATGATTATGATGAAAGCCTCCCGAACCCGTCTGATCTGTGTGGGGAGCAGACCAATCCTCCATTTGTCTTTGGAAAACTGACGATGGTCGTTTTTCTGCAGTGGAGACAAAATTTTAATGATAATATTTTGATAAATGTAGTCAAAGGTCTTATATGTACCTATATTATATTCTGCTACACGTCATTAATATAGGCCGAATACGAGAACTCGCCAAAAATTTGGTTATGGCCGTAGTTAACAAATTAATGGTCAAGGTAAATGGGTGTAAATATGAGCTATAAAATAAGAGTACTAACATTTTCATTGCAAAACACCGGCACCCGCGTCTTCCCGTTTTCGTATGGGAATGGCTCTATGAACACGATGTTTTCTGGGGGAACTTGGAATTCCAGTAAAGCTGCTAAACAGCAATATGCGTGTATTGATGCACCGTACACCAGGATTTTGTCTGTAACATGTCATAGCAACTATTTCTATAGAATAGATACTGGTAAAGCCTTAAAGACTGATAAACGGGACTATTCCCACCTCTCGGATCTACCACTGCAACTCCTGTGTAGCCAGGATCTACAGCTTGACTGCCATAAAAACCCAACCAATAAAGATCAAGTTTGTCCCGGGGGAAAGTTTAACTGTCATTAAGCCCGCAACGAAATTAATCAGAAGAACATAGGAGGAGAAGGTTCGACTTCCCTTCATTGCAAAGCGGAAAGAGTAATAATGTCACCTTATGACATGACAATAAAGTTCTAAATAGAATAAGTAAGTAAATGGCGTCTAAAGGAGAAATATTCGTAAGTCTTCTCCCCAACCTGTCTGGTTAGAGAGGGGAGTGTAGGCCAAATCCTCCATTTGCCTCTGGCGATTTAGAGAGTGGTGTTCCTTTCCTACAGAGTGGAGACAAAATGACCCAATGATGATGATGATTCCTTACAGTTAAAGTCCTGCCAGAAGAAGTTCTTGACATATTTGAGGGCTCTATTTGCTTCGGATATGTTGTTGATGATGAAGACGTTATCCGGCAGATACTCTGTGGATAAGTCGATGTCAGACTCCTGGTAGAGTCGTGGAACGTCCAGACGAGTGTATTTACACTCCTCTCTGTGAAATTGCAAAAAATATAGTATGTCCAACTCTCTCTCTAGCTTGTATTGCACTAATTACTAATACCTAGTTCCGTTTATCTTGTCCCAAGTTAAATATGCTTGTTACGAGTGGGCTCACCACAATAACCAAGCGGCGCGGGATTCAAACGCGCGTTTCGTCGGCCAGTCCGACCCCTTCACCGTTCGGCTATCGTTATGATGATGATTTAAAATCAACTCACGCTTCAGTTTCTCTCTCATACAGCTCTTGTAAATAGTTCGGATGTTGATATTGTTTGCCCAGTAGCAGGAATAAGAGGTCGTAGAAGTATACACTGCCATTAGAGAGGGTTACATAATGTTCTTTCCTGAAAACATCAATGTATAAAAAGGATAAAAGGAATCTTCGTCTTTTGTCCTGTTAACTTGTAATATGAGGGCACATGTCAAGGCATCTACACGTAGAATCGATGAAATGAGCATAGACACTAATGGAGGCAAAGGCAAACATCTTCAGCTCAAGAGATGCCGTTTCTTCTGCTTGCACAGCTGTTTTTTTATCTCACAATAGAACCCGACTAAGATTACTACTACGATATCCGAAATTTTCAACTATTTCCATCACGCTTACGCATAGCAAGACCGACGCCCGAATGAGCGATAGTGACAGATAGTTCAGAAACTAAATAAACGACGTTCGGTAGTACCCCTGTTAGTTTCCTTCAGTTTCAGCCTAAAACGCCAATTTCTCTCGCCATCTAAGAAGAAATCTTACTTGTTGATCTCCGTCATAGTTCCCTGCACGACATTGACATAGTAAGTATATGGCACGCTCTTCAGAAACTTGTCGGCGGTAGTGCGATACCGAGGGAACATCATCTCGGCAGCTGGCTTCGCTTGTCTTACGTAGGGCAGCCCGTTCGGCGATATGAGGGTCACGTTCGTGAAGTTTAGGTAGGATGATGCGTCGCTGTAGGAAAGACTATGATAAATATCACAATGTCCCATAAAATAACATATTTTTTTGGGTATTTTTAACTCTATTAATTGCACACGGAAAGAAAAAGGATTTATTGCTTAAAAGATATCTTCCAGACCAGTGTTGCTACAATTGTCCCTTCTTCCCTCTCGGTATGCGATAATTAATTATTTGCTGCCATCAGCAAAGATTACCTAAGAGCATAGCTGGGCATTAACTCGTTAATCCGTTAATCGTTAATTAACGAAGTTAACATTTCTATTAACGGATTAACTTTTAAGTTAACTTTAAAAATGTTAACGGACTCGTTAACTTCCGTTAAATTATCCTAAGTCCGTTAATCGTTAATCCAGTACCTACTATTTACCAAAAACATACAGCAGACACGCTGAAAAACGCGTTCTGACAAGTACGTTCGGGCTTCCAGAACTTCCAGAATCCAAAACAACAGTTTTTGTAACTAGTAGGCCTAAGATGCGTGCCGTGATAACTTTTATCGACGTCAAAATGTATGAAGAAAATCGATAAAATGACGTGATAACCGCTTATCGCGACGCATCGCAACGATATAAAAAATGCAATTTTTTTATTTATTTACAACTGAATTTAAGATCAGTTTTCCTCAACCGATTGAGCTGAAATTTGGTATACTTATGTAAAAACGTTGACAATGCAATGTTATAGTACCTACCATTGAGCTGGTCTGATGATGGAGTCAAGAGGTGGCCATAGAAACTCCTAAATGAAACGGCGGAATCGCATCGAATTTGGGTTCGTTGGATTTGTCATTTTGAGCACTTTAGTACTAGATGATGTCCAGAGTCCTGATGATGGAGTCAGGAGGTGGCCATAGGAATTCCTAAACGAAACGGTGGAAACTTATCGAGTTTGGGTTTGTTGGATTTGTCTTTTCGAGCACTTTGGTGCTAAATTGTATTGTAAATTGTACCAAGGCTCTGAGATTAAGATACAACTAAAATGTTTAATAAAATTATATTAAAAGCTTTTATTCTGTAATGCAGTTGTACTAAAACGAAAAAAATAATTGTACTTATGCAAGGTTCAAATAATTTCGAAAGCTTGTAGCGCAAACATAAAAGGAATAAATTCCATGTGCTTTCGAAATTATTTGAACCTTGCATACAATAATTTTTTAGGGTTCCGTAGCCTAATGGCAAAAAACGGAACCCTTATATGTAGATTCGTCATGTCTGTCTGTCCGTCCGTATGTCACAGCCATTTTTTTCCGAAACTATAAGAGCTATACTGTTGAAACTTGATAGGTAGAATACATCGCTGTGAACCGCATTAAGATTTGATGCAAAAATAAAAAAATAAAAATATCGAGGTTTCTAAAATATAAAGGTTGCCTCCTCCTCCCCCCCCCCCTCTAACTTCTAAAATAAGAAAATAAAAACTATCAACGAAAATTGTTTTGAACGAGATCTTAGTAGTTTTTTTAATACCTCGTAAATCGTAAACCGCTTATTACCGCGTCATCTTTCACACAAATAACTTAAATTAAAAAAAAATCATAAATCAATAGCACGGAACCCTTTGTGCATGAGTCCGACACGCACTTGGCCGGTTTTTTCGTTATTATCACGTGTTAACGCATTAACGATTAACGTTAACTTGCGTTAAATCATCCGAAATGTAACGTTTTAACGTTTAACGAAGTTAATTTTTTTAGTAACGGTTTAACGATTAACGAAGTTAACTATTTGATTAACGGTGCCCAGCTATGCCTAAGAGTCTCGGTCCGAGTAGGTAGTTGTCTTAGAAACCATAACGAATTTTATCGCAGAAGAGGTCTAATTATAATATCGGCACACCATCGTTATTCGAAAATAAAATAATGTACTAAGTTTGCGAAAACTTACCTAAATAGCAATGTGTCCAGGAAAGACATGGTAGTCCTAGAAGCGCCGACCACCAGAATTCTGACGTTGATGTCTACCTTTGGTATCGTCGTCATGTTTTTACCCAGAAACCAGGTGGTGAACGCTGTTCTAAAGCATCAAAGACAAGACACATAAAAATTGTAACTAGATGAGAAGTACGTATCAAACCATTCTAAATATAAAATATTGTAGAAAATAGAGATTCATGGTAAGTAGTTCTCATTATTTTTCAAAATATTTTACAATTTATAAAAGTACTTACATTTTTTGTGCCAGGTTGGAAATTTTCTTTAGTTCAGGAATCTCGACACAGTCAATTTCCGATTTTCTCGGAATCAGAGGAATCATAGCAGACACCAAGGAGTTAGCTTTATGACCAACCTGAAAAGAGCGGACAGTGAACTGGTCTAGTTCTAACGAATGAATGATTTTTTTACCTAATTGTTACATAGAATATTATGGCTGATAAAAAAACTCATTTGTGCAAATAGGCTTTTAAAAAGCACTTTTACACGTCCCAGTATTAACCATCGGGACGATAAATGGGCCAGTGCTGAGCTGAGAAGAAGCAGCGCAAGAAACTCAGTCACGATTGTCATCCTACTTTTCAAGGGTTTACAGTCTTTAAAAATACATAAGTAGTCATGCATTGATGTGATAGTAGTTCTTCACCTTCAGTGTTATTTATGACGATATTTTACTTGTTCTTAGTGCACAACGAAATCTATGCCTGCGTAACCTGCGTTTGAATAGTTTTGAGCTTCTTTTCGCAATACGAGTTCCAACTTACCAGAGGCAAATGGAGGCTTTGGCTGTCACTTCTCACGCTGGTCAGACAGGTTGGGGAGGCCTGATATTCACATATTAAAGTCACCCTTATTCGCCTACGACATTCACCGAAAGAATGGGGGGTCATCGTATTCTACTCTGCTGACCTAAATCCGTACTCACCCACTTATTCCTATACGCAGTCAGCCACAGCATCGAATTAGTACCAGTCATGCGCATCATCTCCCTCGCAAAGTATCGATAGTGCACCTCAAACGCGGGGTACGCTATAACAGTCTTCAGGGTCGTGAAGCCAGCAGAGGTGCCTTGGCCTCTGAAGTGGTATTTGTGATTGTGGTATAAGTCTAGGTTGAATTTCACTCGGATGAAGTCGATTTGCTCGGGTGATCTGGAAAAGGTATACGGTATGCCCAATAAAATGTCATTATTGGGGACCGTAACGAACTAAGAAAAAGAATGCTCTAAACTTGAAATTCTTAATTGGAATGGATATGCAGAAAGGTGAACGCTATAAACAACTACCAAAAAGACTTACTAAGGATTGAATTTTTGAAAATGACATTCCTTTCTTGCAAATCTTGCTCGCTTGATCTAAAAACTAAACTTCTGAGCCGGTAATCAAAATCAAGGCTTCTTCATTATCAGATAACAATCATAGAAAGTACCTAGGTATGTAGACTTTCATGTAAACCTACTTCTACGTTTCCACTATAAAGCTACAGAAAAGATTAAAAAGCCTGGTTTTCGTGTTTTCATACTCACTCCAAAATACCCACGCCGACTATAGCAAAACCGCTCAGAAAGACAAACGCAGAGTGATTGTCGTTGCTCAGTATGCTGTTCTCTATGGTCCATATAGTTTCCTTGCCCTCCAGGTTTTGAAGCATTTGGGATATCTGAGGCACATCTACCACTTCAGCTGGCCGTACTCGCAATTTTCTAGAAATAAAATTCTGTGGTATCTCATCATCATTAGGACATTAATCTCCATTGTAGGAATACGACCCTTTCTAATTATCCAGACACAAATGGAGCTTTTTACCTATACTCCTCACGTTGGCCAGACAGGTTTGAGGAGGTAAGGTAGTAAAGACTAAGGCCCAGAACAGTGGAACGCAACTGCAACGAAACTGCAACTGCTAGTTACTTTTGAGTTGCATCTAAGTTTCTGCCATAGCGTCCGTTGAGAGACCACACATGACGCGACCAGTTTGAAAGTTTTCGTAGCAGTTGCGTTTCACCGCCTGTTCTGGGCCTAACTCAATTGGCATGGACAAAATGTAACGAAAATAATAAAGGAATAATTGTACCCAAGGACTGAAGATCTGTGTGCCACATAAAGCGCATACTTGCTACAAATCTTTGGTCTAGTTGGAACATACTGAAACAAACAAAATATCATAATTCTCAGTTACTGATTTCGATACCAAGCGATCGCAAAAGAAATGAGTAGGTACCTTTCAACAATCGCATGAAATCTTTACATATTGTTTACAAGTAAGAAACTTACACAGAAATGTTGAAGCAAGGGGAACGTCTTGTCTTTACAAGGAACTCTAATTAAGCAATAATCGTAGTTCTTCATTATCTCAAATGCCGCCTCCAACAAATCAAAAGCATGTCTGAAAGAAATACATTTTATAAAGACTCGGCAATTCTTTTTAAACGTTTGAAGATACATTACACCTTATCTTTCTTGTGAAACATCCTATATTATTTCTTCGGTGATTAAATATGATGACGTCACTCTACATCATTAACATAATACCGACCTGTCATGGACGTCTTCATAGAAACCGAACAGCTCGATTATAAAAGCGTTGGGCTCTCCATGGTAAACAACAGTCTCTACTTCTTCTTTCTGTTTCGGGTTATAGTTTATAGAGCCCCGACCTGAAAGAGCTTTACATGTGATTTCATAGGCAGAGCAAATAGTCGAGTAGCGTCAGGGAAATTCAAGTCGCAGCCTGTCGTGAGTATAAGATGCATATTAATATAGTCTGGTCCGTGAGAACGTAGAATTCTGTCCAATGACCCCTAGCTACGCATCCTTATCGCTCGCGCGTAATTATGTTGCTATCGCGCTCGCATACTCACTGCGGGTGTCAGTCGCACAATCGCGACAGCAATATAATTACGCGCGAGCGATAAGGATGGGTAGCTAGGGGTCATTGGACAAAATTCTACGTACTCACGGACCGGGCTTTAACTACGGCTACTTTAGTCTAAAGTGATTTTACTATTGAATAATTTATAAAATACAATTTACTTCTCGTCCTCATCTTGATTTCGGACAGCTTTGATTGCCTCCAAGATTGAGCGCCTGGGGTTCTAAAAGCAAATAATATTAAATTAGCTAAAACTTATTTCAATATTTGCTCCTTGAGAACCTGACCAATACAATAGCATTTCACCCTAGAAAAAATCGGTAATATATTTCACACCCCTCCTATACTCTTCTGATCCCACGAGACAATTCAGCTTTCATTAATTGGGTTTCCTTGGATGTCAAGCTGTAGATCCTGGCTATACAGGAGTTGTAATGGTGAGATAAAAATCCCGTAAAAACCATCGGCTTTTCCATACAAAAAGGTCTAATAATACATTGAGGGTAGTTATCACTTACAACTGCTCACAAGACAGCGCTTCAGGGATGGTCAGTAAGTCATTATCAATGTTGACAATGTCGTAGTCAAACGGGTCCTCCTCCAAGAGGTCGGTGACCGAGTAGGAAGTGCACTGAGACTGGTTCGGCGACTCGTTGTATATCTTGTCGCTGAAGTCGTCGGAATGACGATGTCTATAACAATCATTATCAAGTCATTATGTCTCCACTGTAGGACCACAGTTAGAAGTTTCTGTAATTTACCAGAGACAAATGGTTTGGCCAACACTTCCCATGCTAGCCAGACGCGTTGGGAGGCCAGTAGGTCTAGGATGGGCGCTGCAACGCACCATTTTATCAATTGTAGGCGATAAGCCCATAGATTTGTCGTCTAAAAACATCGATAACATTTTATAACAGCGCACATCCCAGAATGGCCGATCTTCGCTGCTCGATTTATGGCATACGCGTAAGAAATGTGGATGGAGTTATTTTACTCTTTCGGAACTACACTGCCAGAAAAAAAAAACATTACATTTCATAACGAAGCCTAAAACATACTATGCATTCTGCACAACATACAACTCCATCAACCCCCTTGATATCTCTTCGAAAATATACTACAGAGATGAATAAAAGGTAGATTTACTTGTAAATATGTTCCAGACTCTTGCGCATTGTAGCATTCCGTCCAAAATACACTTTGCTCGTCTTCTTAGTTTTGGGGGCGTACTGGATGTTTTCTTTTGATGGCTCCTGAATAACGTTATTTATTTATCAATTTATTACTATTGATCATTTGTAATTTCTACCAATTAGATAAAACAATCTTACATCGTCAAGCATAACGGTTTCTTTTTTCACCATTCGTTGAAATGGACTCCACTCCCCAAGCATTATAGGATCTCTGTAAACACAATAAACAAGAAAAGTGCATCCAAAATTTTTCGGTAACAGTTATGCTTCTCTCTATCTCAAGGTAATAGACTAAGAGCTAGTGAACGCCAGACCTACGTCATTTTATAAAAGCTGAAAGTTTGTCAACGTATAATATTTGGGCAAAAATTAGAAGTATTTTCTCCAACAGCCAGACAGTTTTGACAGTTTTTAGGGTAGCTCCTAAAGCCACCATGACCCAAACTTCATAATTCACCAATATTATATCCTATATTGGGAGCATACGCTGACAAACTTTCAGCTTTTATAAAATGACGTAGGTCTGGCGTTCACTAGCTCTTAGTCTATAAAGGATTTTTGATAATGGCTGCCACGTGTAAGGTGCTATCCAAAGCTCAACAAATCGGAACAACAGCAGTTAATTCACTATTTTTTTAAGGTGCCTTACCCAAAAGTCTTCAGCAAAGGATTAGCTCGTTTACACTCCTCCTTCTCCAAAGGCGTGGCTCTCTTCAGCCCGTACAAAGGACCCAGGTCATAAGTGGCGTCTAGTTTCTCGTAGTTTATGTCCGAGTTTAGACACATCACTCCTACAGCTCGATCTTGATGCTGCAATTCACTCAACTACGTAAATGTGCCTAAATTGTTATCTGTCACTGAATAAAATAATTCATTTTATTTTTTCATTTTCAAATAGTTTATTTTAAAAATATCTTTGGGTATAGTGAACTAATAAGTACACGGTACAAGTAATAAGTATGGCCAACGAGAAGCGATACAAAAGGTCGATTCGACTTTCGAATTGACAATCTATTCTGTCTCTTCTCATCTTGTGTATTTGTCGTAATGTCTCGTTTTCCGCCAAAATATGTCAAAGTCAAACCCTTAGGCTGGGTTTACTTTAACTTTGATAAGCGTCAAAAATCTGTCAAATTCCATACAAAAAGCACCGGTTATCGTCATAGTTACCGTTAAAGATAGGTGGTGCAACCCACCCCTACTATTCCAAATGACAATGACATTGGGTTTGTTTACATTTGGTATCGCTTCTCGTTGGCCGTACTTTAGCTGGAATGCGACTCTCCCTCGCACTCAACCGCGTACGTCACGGCTGGCAGGTGCGCAGTTAACTCAATAGGCTTGTATATTCGCATACGATTATGGCGTCTGTAACTCGACGAATTGGTACCTTATTTACTTACATCAGCAACTATAATCTTCCTGTTGCTTTCAGGGTGTCTCCCAATTAGTTCACTCACGTAGTAATGTCCATACAGATCTTTCAATCGCGGACATTTCTTATCCAGAATTTCAACAATATCATCATTGTCTTCTTCACTACAAAATCAAAGTTTTGTTGCTCTGTTTTTAATCCTCGAAACTTTATACTATGTTGAATTTCAATCTTCAAACCAACCACAGGACAAAAGTCTATGATACACTATGGACCTTAGTTTCTCGAAAAAATGCGTAACCATTTATTACAAAGACTGATTGAAATTTTCTCGTACGGCGAGCGTGCAAAGCAGACGTGTCGCAAAATATTTTTAAATTTAATATTTAAGTGCAAGACCAAATTTCGTCCTTATTACAACGTCATAAAACAGATTTTTGTAACTTCGTAAAAGGCCTGTTAGAACTGTCTGTTCCTGTGTTAAAGAACGCCTCCCGCACCTCGCACTAGTGATTCATTGACCAACATGAATATACTACACTCACCTACTAGAAGTGGCATGAACGCTGGGCGCAGTGGATCACATCCAAACTTATCCACCGCAGGTACGTCAACTGCATCTACCTCTAACGTCTCAACTGTTACCTTCCGCAATAAGCGTAAACACCTTGAGGGGGATGATTTTGGAGAACAGCTTACAGACATACAGAAGCAAATGACGACAATGATGGAGATGCTGACTTTATCTATAAATGCACAAAACGAGAGTACCGCTAAGATCAAAGAAGACATTTCAACCATCAAAGACCAAATGATGGACATTAAAAAAGGCATGGGGTTGACCGAGCAGAAACTGGCAAGTCTAGTCATGGAGCAAAGCGAGATTAAAGATGACATCCAAACATTAGTAAAATCCATACACACCACAGAAGAAAAAATTGTTTCACTGGAATCTGATGTGCAATCATTAAAATCAGCAAGTATTTCACCTTCACACAGCAAATATCCAAATTATGAAGAATTCCTAGCAGAGCTAAACGATCAAAACTCGAGGAAAACTAACTTACTCATAGCGGGTATCCAAGAATCTAAATGCAGTGATAGCAAAGAACGTCGAGAGTCTGACAGAATTGAAGTGATAAAAATTATGAAAAGCATGTTTAACGAAGATACTCCTTCTCCTGTCAAGATTATGCGTGTTGGAAGATATGACCCAAATAAAACCCGCTCAGTTAAAGTATGTTTTGAGAGAGAGGATACCGTCAAATTAATCTTACGGAGTAAAAACAAGCTAAAGAGTTCAGATATCAGAATCTTTCCGGATCAAACTCCTTACCAACAGACAAGATTTAAAAAATTAAAAGATGAACTTCTTCTTCGTACTACAAATGGTGAAAATAATCTCCTAATAAAATATATTAAAGGAGTGCCCCAAATCGTAGAATCGCCTCCAAAAAACACCACAAAACAAATAACCCCGATCAACACCAACCAGGAATAACATATCAGGCTTTATCCAATTATGACGAACTAAAATACAATAAAACATCTCTCAAATTCTTATATGCTAACATCAGGAGTATGGTGAAGCCAGGCAAGTTGGACGAATTGTGCTGTGTAATTGACTCTTTAAAAACATCAATCCATGTCATAGTTCTGACAGAAACTTGGATCAAATCGGACGACGAGGCAAAACATATTCAGATACCAGGATACACACACTATTACCAGTACAGAAAGAATACCATTGGTGGCGGAGTATCTATCTTTGTCACAAATCACCTAAAGCACTACCACATCGAAGAAATGTCCCAAAATGATAACCACTTCCTATGGGTACATCTCAAAAAATTCTCAATAGATATTGGCGCAATATACAAACCTGGCCGTACTAATGTTAGTGATTTTCTGGACACATTTTCACAACAACTAAGCCGAAAAAGAAGAGCAATAGTGTTTGGAGATTTCAACCTTGATCTACTAGATCCTAATAAATCTGTAAAAGACTATCAAGATACATTACAAGAAAATGGTTTTAAGATAATAAATAACATTTCTCCTGAATATTGCACCAGGGAAACATCACAAAAGAAGACCCTATTAGATCATGTCTCCACAAACCTAAATGAAAACCAACTTCACATGGCTATCATGGAATCATCTTTATCAGATCACAAGCAGATATTTCTCGAGATCAATAAATACCAACCAAAATCAAAAAAGAAAATCCTCTACAAATCAGTCGACTTTGAAAAGCTACAAGATAAAGCAAAAGATATTATGAAGGGCAGAACAAACAAGAATTTTGAAAAATTTGAAAAAATATTGAGTAACTTGATTGATCAATGTAAAATTGGGAAAACGAAAATCCTAAATGCACCAAAACAAGACTGGGTAAACGCAAAAATAATAACTGCAATAAACCGAAGAAACTCTCTATACAAAGAACATAAAAGCAAACCAAACAATGAAAACCTAAAAAATAAATTCCAAACAGAGAGGAAAAGAGTGTCTGATGAAATCAAAACAATGAAAAAATACTACTATTACAAACAATTTTCTGACTGCAAAAAACAACCAAGAAAAATGTGGACTTTGATCAACAACCTTACTCACAACAAAGTAAAAGATATCTCAATACCGGTTAAGCTGGAAAAAGGCAGTCAAACAATAACAGATGGAAATGAGATTTGTGAATGTTTCAACGAGTTCTTCGCAACGATAGGATCAAGTTTGGCAGAATGTATACCTAGTAAGTATCATAACAACAAGACGCACACGACTGCAACGATTGATTCTAGTCAGGACGGTTTTGGTTTGACGTCGTTGGGGCCAGCTACAATTGATGAAGTATTATTACTTATAGATAGTTTAGACTCCAACACCAGCTCAGGCATAGACAATATAAATACAAAATCAATAAAATGTGTAAAACACCAAATTGCCCATGAACTCACTGACTGTATAAATCATTGTCTTGAAGAAGGTACATTCCCTAACAATTTAAAAATAGCTAAGGTAACGCCTATCTTTAAATCAGGCTCTCGGTCAGATCCCAGTAATTACCGACCAATATCAGTACTTCCAGTGTTATCAAAAATTTTTGAAAAGATTATTTATACACGCCTTCATACATACTTAGACACAATTAAATTCCTTTACCCCAAACAATATGGTTTTAGACCCAAGTCAAACACCCTTTCTGCAACTGTTGACCTAATCACAAAAGTTAAAAATAGCATTGATGAAAAAAACCTTTGCCTTGGTATTTTTATAGATTTAAAAAAAGCGTTTGACACAGTTAGCCACAAAATTCTTTTAGACAAACTAACAGACATTGGTATTACCGGTAGTGCCTATAACATTTTCAAATCATACCTCACAGAGCGCTCACAGGTTGTAAAGATAGCGGATTTTCAAAGTGCTACTACCCAGATAACCTACGGAGTTCCGCAGGGTTCAATATTGGGGCCTTTGTTATTTCTCATATATATTAATAATATCAGCAATCTTGACCTCAAAGGCGACCTATCACTTTACGCCGATGATACCAGTCTGTTTTATTTTGGCCATAAAATGGACTCAATCGTTCAAGATGCACAGAATGACCTTGATCTTCTTAGTGTCTGGTTTCAGTGCAATCTTTTAACCCTTAACGTAGCTAAAACCCACTTTGTAATATTTACCGCTAAAAACAAAAAAATCCCAAACTTTCAACCATTAATGATCAATAATATAACAATAAGCAAAACAAATACTGAAAAATATTTAGGACTAATTTTAGATAATCATCTCACATGGGAGCCTCACATTCGAAAAATAAGGGCCAAATTATTATCCTTGACCGGTGCCCTTCGCGCCATAGTTCGATGTTTACCACATAGTATACGATACGACATATATAATACAATGGCGAAGCCTCACATTGACTATTTGATTGAAATTTGGGGGTCTGCGGCCAAATCTAACCTTAAACTTATACAAACATCACAAAATAAATTAATAAAAACACTATTCCAATATGACTACCTGACGGCAACAGCAAAACTATATATGGATACAAAATTAATGGACATAGACAAAACGTATAAATACTACTCATGTATTCTTATTAGGAAGATTATGTCACAGGAAATACAAACAAATATTATATTCCAAACTAATAATGAATATCCCCAGCTAAAACGTTTAAGGAACCCAAACAAAATAATACTGCGCTCGCCACGAACTAACTTTGGAAAAAAGAACATTACTTTTGAAAGTGCCCAAATGTATAACAAATTACCAAATAATATTAAAGACGTAAAGAGTACGGACGCATTCAAAAGAAAACTTAAAGCCTATTTACTTAATCATCCAGATGCAAACAAATCACAATGATTTATCATTATAACTTGCGAGACGCTTCTAGCTGCGCTTATCCGTGTAACGGCCAAAACCCGTTCCTTTTGTTTCGCTTCACTGTAGCTCGATCGCTCGTATTGACAGTGCCGTGTGTCGTCTTGTTTAATGATACCAAACTACCCATCCACACTAACTTAGTTTAGCACGCTCGCGTATTTGTAAAACGTTTATTTTAATAAATATATATTTTTTTAGTTCTAAGTTCTCATGTAAGTGAAGTAATTCTTATGAGAATAAAGTTTCTTTACCCGTAAAGACCATGAATTTTTATTTTTTACATAAAGAAAATTTAATATTGAAGCACAGTACTTACACAGCGCGTCTCATTTTGAGTTTAGGACAAAACTCAAGTCGTGTAAACGTATAGAGATAGTGACAACTGTCGATGTCATCGATTCGCTTTGCGCAATACTTATACACATTCCTTCTTTTAAGACCTGCGCAGTGCAGTACATCTGGAGAACAAACACGAATTTATTATGCTGTTATAATAAATATTTATTCCAATAATACTGATTGGTGTATAAGCATTGTAGGGAGATGTTCTCTGCCCTAGCTAAAGTCTGGTCGCCGAGCATGTAGAATTTCGCTTGCACACTCACTGCGGCCGCCCATCGCACAGTCGCGATAGCAATATAATTAATGATTAAACGAACTTAAAAAGTGAAGTTCTATCATAATCATGCGAGGGCTTTGTCCGAAGAGATTAGAAATAAGAACTATGTAGTATCACGTACGGTGATGCCAGTTTACGCACTGTTAGTTGAGGATATTTTTTTTTTTTTTTTTTTTGTGGGTATCTCAGTTTACATCCCATTTGACATTGGTATCCGTCGTCAGTTAGTTTGGAGTAGTAATTTGTATTTTTTATCATTTCACTAATATGGGGGTTTGTGTTTTTAATAATATACCTACATATGAGTATATGATTGTTAAAGACGGGTGGGAGGGTTTCTAATCTCTTCGGACAAAGCCCTCGCATAATTATGATAGAACTTCACTTTTTAAGTTCGTTTAATCATTAATTATGCTCGTGCTTTGTCCTCGAGATTAGAAATAAGAACTATGTAGATTTTGAGAGAACTGATGTGAAATGATAATAAAAACAAAGTGATAGCTCCTCCTGAATTTTGGCTACTCTATTAGCCACAAACGTATCCCACCTATGAGGCGAGGAGTGAGCCCAACAAAGAGCGACTGTGGAGTCAGAAAAAGCGAATATTTTATTGATTTGAATGCGGTTTCTACAAGATTCAACTATAAAACCAATAATTTTGGCAAGAAGCAATAATGCACAAAGTTCGAGACGAGCGAGAGACTGAACCTTACGCGGGGCGACCTTTGACTTGGCACAACAAAGACTGAGCGTTAATTTGTCAGCATTTTCCACGTGAAAATAAACAACACCCCCGTACGCCTTCTCACTAGCGTCTGCGAAGCCCATAATAGACACCACACTACCTGATGTGATACCTACATGGCGCGGAATCTTGATTTGCTCCAGCAGAGGAAGCTCACTTCTAAAGCGGATCCACAAACCAACAACATCTTCTGGCGGGTGATCATCCCAATCACAATCACACAGCCACAGTCGCTTAACAATCAACTTTGCGAACAGAACAACGGGCGCGACAAATCCCATCAAATCCCAAATGCGAGCTATACATGAGAGTATAGTGCGTTTCGTGCAAGCGTCACCAGGCTTGTCGATTTTCAAACAAAACAAATCAGTAACTGGGGACCAACATAAACCCAAAACCTTGTGCGAAGCGGACTCATCAAATTCCTTAACAGATGAAAGGCGATGTGAAAGCGGTATGTGCTCTAGGACCTCTTGTGAGTTGCTCGTCCATTTGACAAGATCAAATTGACCAGACTTCATGAGGCCTATCACTTCATCAGCGGTGGCGATAGCATCCGACTCTGTGTCGACAGAGTGGACGTAGTCATCCATATACAATCCAGTCTCAATGGTTTCCCTCGCTTTAGGAAACGCGTCGCCCTTATCAATTGCCAATTGCTTGACAGTGCGCAATGCGTGAAATGGACTAGACTTAAGTCCAAAACAAACTCTATTGAACTGAAAAACCTGCAGTGGTATCTACGATCACAAGAGCGGATGCCAATACACAAAAGCATCTGACGTATGTCAGCCGAAAGAGCGATGCGGAACAGGCGAAAATTAACAACAATACTAAACAAGTTACCTTGTAGGTTTTGACCACTATACAAGATATCATTTAGCGAGACAGAAGTAGGTATGTATTGGGCATTCTAATTCACTTTTTTCTTCACCATTCGCTCTCTTCGATCGCTCATTCGAAAAAAGTGAATTAGTCATGCCCAATACATACCAAACGATTGTAATAATCAGAAAACATATCCATGATTGCTTGAACTACAATGCATGGATTCTGCGCACCTTATTATACTTACCAGAGCTAATGAACTTCTTTAAACTGAACTATTTAAATGTTTTAACGCGATGAATATTGTCATTATAATTAAGCTATTGCAGCACAGCGGACCTTTTAATTAGATAAATGAAGTTCCTGAAGCAAAAAGACTCGTTAAAATTAGAATGTGTTGGTCCTGTGTCATCAACTGTACCAAAACGTCATGGTAAACTATTACCTAACACTATACGCAGCCTTGTTTGTGGTCCATCCAATTGCGGAAAGACAAATGGCAATGCCAGATTTTGTATGGAAGGTGGCGTCTTTTTTTTTTCGCACGGCCATCGACCAAACTTTGTTTTTTGATTACAAAATAGTGTAATAAACCAAACTTACTATGACATGTATACCTCTAAACTCAGTCTGANCTGGTGAAAAACGGTACAAAATGCGTTGAAATCTACGATCACAAGAGCGGATGCCAATACACAAAAACATCTGACGTATGTCAGCCGAAAGAGCGATGCGGAACAGGCGAAAATTAACAACAATACTAAACAAGTTACCTTGTAGGTTTTGACCACTATACAAGATATCATTTAGCGAGACAGAAGTGCTAGTCTTAGCACTACCATCGAGAACGACGCGAAGTTTAGAGGTTAACTTGTCTTCTCTAATAACTCCATGATGCGGTATAATATACGAAGGCGGAGCATTAACAATATCCTCCTCGTCTGGAGGCGCGGGTGAGATNTTTTGTGTCTCAAAGAAAGAGGATCAATCATTAAAATGTGATGACTGAATGTGATGATTAAAATGATGACCATTTAGATTTTTTTAATTGCCGTTTTTGCTAATTTAAAAAGATCATTTAAATACATGCCTATTTAAAAGCAGATTGACTTACTGGCTTTTGGACAAATGTTTTTATAGTTATAAGGAATATTTTAATTGGCGACATTGATACTATTAATTTAATTTTACATTGACATTTTCTTAATTATTTGACATTAATACTATTGAAACCTGTCATTTTTGCACGTCTGCAAGCAGACTAAACACATGATCCTATTTAATATTGTCACCTGTATTACTGTGTTTTTGGCAAATAAACGTTTTGAATCTTGTAATAAGTTTGGTTAGATTTTGTTGTTTACATTTTAATGACTACATAAAGAATATAACTCAACATAAATACTTTTAATATTTTAATAATTATCACCTACAACCAGTGCTCACACACCAGAGGGTTATAAAACTAATTAAATCAAATTATTTTAAATAAAAATTAAATTGTCATAATATGAAATTCGTTTAGTTCTAAAGAGGAAAACAACATGTGCCTGTGGAATATCTAACAAATCAGCGTTTATCAAAATGCCTTATTTTTTTTGTGTAATATTCTACAGAACCTTTTCTAAAGTAACATTATTTTCATAATTATTCATTATTTATAGCATTTTCCCACGGCTTGTGAAATTTAACTTGTCACAGATCTTTATAAATTATAGCTTATAATGTTATTCTGATGTACCTATAAACAATAATACCTACTGTAAAGTTTCATCAAAATCCGTGTAGAAGTTTTTGTGTGAAAGAGTAAAACCATCCACACATCCACACAAACATTCGCATTTATAATATTAGTAGCATTATTTCATACAAGCAACAGCTACCTATAATATCATGTTGCAGTATCCGTCGGGCTGACGCTAATACCAGGGAACCAAGTGCTGACAAATCAAAAATGAATCAATTCTATCGTTCATTTGTGTTGCACCAGTGTTATAGTGATCGCCATGGGTTTCGCACTGTCTTGCGAAGTTTCTTTTCTAGGTACTAATTATTTCGAAACAAGTAGGACGCATAGCACAATGTGTTTAATATTTGAAACTAAGTTTAGATTATGTTGATACGACCAATCGGGCCTGAACGAGCCACTCCATAGCGAAAGGTTCCGGTTCAGGGTGCCGACATTTTCTGGCAAAAGTGAGAAGAACGACATGTGCTTGTCCGAACGAAGTATGAAATAAAAGTACGACGAATCGCGCTAGAATAAACCTTCAGCAATAAACAGGCTAAGCGGTTCCCATCGAGCGTGATCTAAACAGTGAAGTGCAGTTTTGTGAATATTTTGTGTTGTGTTGTGGATACTGAAGCATAGCTGATTACTGGTGAGTTTTCTGATTATTACAATAAATCGTTTGGTATGTATTGGGCATGACTAATTCACTTTTTTCGAATGAGCGATCGAAGAGAGCGAATGGTGAAGAAAAAAGTGAATTAGAATGCCCAATACATACCTACTGACAGAAGTGCTAGTCTTAGCACTACCATCGAGAACGACGCGAAGTTTAGAGGTTAACTTGTCTTCTCTAATAACTCCATGATGCGGTATAATATACGAAGGCGGAGCATTTACAATATACTCCTCGTCTGGAGGCGCGGGTGAGATATACTCTTTCTCCAAGTACTCTTTAATAACGCCGTCATAAGCTTCTCTAAGATTAGAGGACGCCTCTAACTTGCGTTCCAAACAAAAAAAGCGTTTTTCAGCGGTCCGCCTTGAATCTCCGAGGGAGCTAATGTCACCCTTGAAAGGCAAAGCCACGACGTACCTGCCAGTCTCGTCTCGTGTAGTCGTGCTTGTATAAATGTCTTCACAGACCTTATCGTCTGGACTAAATATTGGAGGCATACTTACCTCCTCCAATTCCCAAAACTTGCGGACTACAGACTCGAGGGGCGCGGAAGAATAACAACAAGAAGAAACCGTGGTGTTTATACATTGGGTCATATCAACACTGACGGGAGCGGAACCAACAATAACATATCCCAGCACGGTCTCCAATGCGAGAGGCGCGGATGCGAGCGGCTGATCAGGGCGGCCCTTTATCCTAGTAGGCAACAAAAGGTGCGGGAATATCGAAGCCCCAATCAACATATCAATTTTGCCAGGAATGGCATAAGTATCATCAGCGAGCGGTAAGCTATCAAAGCTTGACAACAAAGAAACATCCACCTCAACAGAGGGCAAGCGGTCGGTCACTTGGTCCACAACCAAAGTGTCCGCATCAAAACAAATACGGCGGTTAAAGCGAGAATAGAATTTAATCTGAGCGATATGTTGGACGGTTTTACTAGAACCTCCAATTCCTTTAACGATAGTGTGTGTCGAACTATAATTCAAAGGCAAATTTAAGCGTTGACAACATTCGCGAGTAACAAAATTACTTTGAGAAGCGCTATCCAACAAAACACGAATACAATGTTCCCTGCCATGCGTATCAAAAACAATAACACGTGCCGTAGCAAGTAGCACGGTCGTAGGCGTGGGAGAAACCGGTTTGCTATTATCCAAACTCGAAGAACACAACGCGGCGCTCACAGGCGCGGGCGCTTCCACATTCACCGGGCGAGCCGGGGCGGGCGCAACGTTATGCGCAGGAACGACATTTTTAACCAAATTATCAAAATGCAGCATTGAATGATGTTTGACACCACAATGACGACATCTACTATTTGAATTGCAATTTATTGCGCGGTGCTTACTACTCAAACAATTATAACAATAACCATTTGACTTTACAAAATCAAAGCGTTGTTTACAAGACCAATTTTTAAACGTGGAACATTGATACAAATGAGCGTGTTTGTTAGTACACAAACTGCAATCATCGCTCTGCGGCGATGCAACAACATAACTGTGTGTTGACCTTGACGGCCTTGAGGGCGGCGGGCCTCGTTTATTATTCGAACTATTATTACTCGAACTATTTTGCAAAATATTCACATGATCGCGGATGAATTCAACAAAACTAGCGAAAGTAGGTATCTTAGTACCTCGATTGTCTAACTCGAATGATCGGACAGTTTCCGAATCCATTCGCTTTAAAGCTATTGACAAAAACAAATAATCCAGCGGGTCATTCAACTTTAAATTCTTTAGCGCGGCGACTGAAGATGCAAAGTTATCCAGAAAGTACTCCATGTTACCATAATTAGCGTTAGATATAGCTCTAAAGTCCAAAATCTGATCAATATAAGCGTTTGCCAACAAGCGTGTGTTTTCATATTTTTCCTTTAAAGTTTCTAAGATCAGCAAATAATTGTCAGCGCACGGCGTAATGCCTGCACACACTGACTGCGCTTTCCCAACGAGTTTACCAATAAGATAATACAACTTGTCCGAGTCTGACAACGATGAATTGTTGTGTACAGTGTTAGTGAAGCTAGAATAAAACAAAGGCCAATTTTTAATGTCACCATTAAACTCGGGTATTTCAATCGCGGGCAATCTAGGCAAATTAAATTTAGGTTTACTATCTACTTGCGGTGGAGATTGAGTTTTATCGAAATCTGTCAATCCTTTGGCTATTTTCTTTACGCGACAAAACAAATCTTCAAAAGACAGAAGCGACTGATAAGAAACAACATATTTTGGATTACTTTCCAACTTCAAAGCGTTAATTTTGTCCAACAAACATTCAAAATCGGAGCGCAAAGTATCAATAGTTTCAATCTCATATAAAAACAATTCTTTAATACTTTCATTCGAAACATTATTCGCGTGATCGCATATCGTTTGCATACGCGAAAATAAAGTTTCGCTTTTAGCGTACAAAATCTTTAAGTGCGGTTCAATACCTACTGACACTTTATCCGTTGCCATGTTGAATGGGACGGGATGCGAGTTTACAACGATAAACAAACTTATAAGTACAGACGTTTGCCAACGTATCACTGGCGGAGCGGGTTGCAGTATGCAACTATCAATGCGAATAATAATAGAATAAACAGATGATACCTACGCGGGTTCAACGTGCTGTCTTAATCAATAATTTAGCGGCGGATTTATACAATAACAAATACGTAAGATACTTANTCTTGTATATGTGTTTTCTAACGTAGTATTATTCGGGTCTTTTTTATATTCAATCCATAGTTCATTCCTTTGGTTAATAGCATTAAGGATATCTCTGTTGATCCAATCTTTTAGTGGTGGGTTCTGCTTCTTAAACTTGGTTATTTTACTTCTTTCTATATTTATCTTAATTGTTTCTTCTAGTTGCTTAAAATTCATATTATGTGTATTTTCTAAATCTATTTTTTTAACCGATGTATGCAGTTGTTCATAATCCAAAGCTTTGTAGGCAATCCGCTTGATTGGAGGTGGCTTATATTTCTTCAATGAAAGGTAGATTTGTCGATGATCAGACATTGCGGAATCACACAAAGCAAAATGATAAAGTTCATTTTTTAAATTTGTACTNGAACTATTGCGGGTTACGACAATAAATAATATACCTAGCTATATAAGTATTTACTTAGCGAATGTAATAACTGCGGGATCGACTATAACAAATAAAATAGTTATTACACTGATCGTTACGAAGCGGACGAATAATACCTACAAGATTTCAAGCGGTTTTAGCGCGATAATTTATGGTTAAACAAACTTACCTTAAGTGAAGTTTGACCGTAATTATACGAGTCGCTGCATCCGAAGAGATTTTCATATTTACCAGGTAGTCCACTTCTCATTNACGGAGCGGACGAACAATACCTACCTACAAGATTTCAAGCTGTTTTAGCGCGATAACTATGATTGACGTAGGTTTTATAAAGCGGGGTTGCAATAGACTAAATCGTTAAATCCGGCTCGGTTTGGACCATGAATATGGATGAGCGTAATTATACATTAAATCATAGTTAAGGGGGCAAAAGGGGAGCAAAGAACAAGTGGACTGTTCGTTCGTTCGTTCGTTTCAGCCAAATGACGTCCACTGCTGGACAAAGGCCTCCCCCAAGGTTTTCCACAATGAACGGTTCTCGAGTGGCGACCACGGGCTGGAAAACGTAGCGTGGGCAGGCCTCCTACTAGGTGGACCGACGATCTGGTAAAGGTCGCGGGAAGAGCCTGGATGCGGGCAGCGCAGGACCAAGTGGNCAATTTTGCATACAAGGGCGGAATCGCTGGAAGACCTCGACACAATGCTCGAATACCTTAAATCGAGTCTCCCAGCAGGTAGGCCTTCGGATGAAGATGGACAAAACGAAGCTTATGACCATGTTGCATCCTACCTATTTTCGGTTGGGAGCTCGATTCTCGAGATTGTTGACAAGTATGATACCTCGGACAAACGATTCAGCTAGGTAGATGCAATTTTGAGAAAGCGGTAAATCGTCGAAACTTACTCGGCTGGGCCGCTTTCGGGAAACTACACAACATCTTTTCGTCCAAAATACCTCAGTGCTTAAAGACCAAAGTCTTCAATCAGTGTGTGTTACCAGTGATGATATACGGCTCGGAAACGTGCCCACCCAAAGTTGCACAGCATGCTATGAAGAGGGCTGTGCTTGGTGTTTCTTTACGAAATCGACGAGAAATGAGAAGTTCCGTAAACGAACTAAAACCGCTGACATAGCCCGACGGACTAGCAAGCTGAAGTAACAATGGGCATGGCACGTGTACGCGGAACTGACGGGCCATAGTCCAATTAATGTTTGGAAGGTAGTTGAGATGTCGTTTTTCATTGCTAAAACCAAGTACGGCAAGTGCTAAAATTGTTCAATAACAAGTTAAATTAACCATAAATATTTGCAATGGGACAAAAAGTGATGGTGAGAGACATGAGAAAATCATTGGTCTTTGCCAATCATGTACTTTGGGCTTTGTGGCTGGTTGTGGCACGTTTAAACGCTTTGTTTAAAATCTCAATTAAAACTTTTATCTGATTCCGATATTACGATATTGGGTCATTCAATATCGGAATTGTAATATCGGATCTCGTACTCCGAGATTCCGATATTATGAGATTCCGAGATTCCAATATTCATGCCCTAGTGTTGACCTTGACGGCCTTGAGGGCGGCGGGCCTCGTTTATTTTTCGAACTACATATTATTACTCGAACTATTTTGCAAAATATTCACATGATCGCGGATGAATGCAACAAAACTAGCGAAAGTAGGTATCTTAGTACCTCGATTGTCTAACTCGAATGATCGGACAGTTTCCGAATCCATTCGCTTTAAAGCTATTGACAAAAACAAATAAACCAGCGGGTCATTCAACTTTAAATTCTTTAGCGCGGCGACTGAAGATGCAAAGTTATCCAGAAAGTACTCCAAGTTACCATAATTAGCGTTAGATAAGCTCTAAAGTCCAAAATCTGATCAATATAAGCGTTTGCCAACAAGCGTGTGTTTTCATATTTTTCCTTTAAAGTTTCTAAGATCAGCAAATAATTATCAGCGCACGGCGTAATGCCTGCACACACTGACTGCGCTTTCCCAACGAGTTTACCAATAAGATAATACAACTTGTCCGAGTCTGACAACGATGAATTGTTGTGTACAGTGTTAGTGAAGCTAGAATAAAACAAAGGCCAATTTTTAATGTCACCATTAAACTCGGGTATTTCAATCGCGGGCAATCTAGGCAAATTAAATTTAGGTTTACTATCTACTTGCGGTGGAGATTGAGTTTTATCGAAATCTGTCAATCCTTTGGCTATTTTCTTTACGCGACAAAACAAATCTTCAAAAGACAGAAGCGACTGATAAGAAACAACATATTTTGGATTACTTTCCAACTTCAAAGCGTTAATTTTGTCCAACAAACATTCAAAATCGGAGCGCAAAGTATCAATAGTTTCAATCTCATATAAAAACAATTCTTTAATACTTTCATTCGAAACATTATTCGCGTGATCGCATATCGTTTGCATACGCGAAAATAAAGTTTCGCTTTTAGCGTACAAAATCTTTAAGTGACCGTCTGCCTCCCACATAATCGCCTTTTGTAACTCGAAAGGTATAAAAATAACAGCTCATTCTATTTTTGTTAGGAAATATTCACAGTTACGAGTAATGTAATTTATTTTTCACGATACGGAAAAACGCAACTTTATTTACTACTACTACTTTATTTTATAACGTA